GAGTGGAAATCATGGGTTCTGGTTTATTCTCCTGTCTTGTTGCATGGTATTCTCCCTCCATTACAATTCAAGAACTGGATGTATTTCGTTGATGCATGCCGATACTACGTAAAACCCAGCATTACTTTTGATGAGATCACCACTGCCCACAGCCTGTTAGAAAAGTTTTGCAATGCATGTAACGTAGACTATACCGCCACTATTCTCACCTGCAATATGCACCTACACCTCCATCTTCATGAATGCATTCGTGATTTTAGACCAGTGTATGGTTATTGGCTCTTTGGGTTTGAGCAATACAATGGTATTTTAAAGAATTTCAAGACAAATGGCAAAGACGGTTTTGAGGCGACCTACATGAAAAATTTTGTTCAGAATGCGTATAAGGGTGATTATGTCAATGCTGTTCTTAAAAGTTCTAGCCAGATCCCCTTCATTCACACTCTGTCTAAACTTGTTACAACCTCCATACCTGCCGCCACAGTCACCACTCTCTCCAGTCGCCCATTCAGATTGCAAGCATTTGTTCAAGGCTACACTGATCCTTATAATCCACCCAAGGGTAACGAGCCTCTTCCTCCTTCTACATTTCCTCTAAAATACAAAAAGCCATCAGTAATGGATGATTCCGACTATCTCCATTTACTTGAATATTACCAAGTCGCTTACAACCTCCCAGACCTTGCCAGCTATCAGGACACGTCCTATAATCGCCCAGCACTTGACAATCAAATCATCAAATTGAAGTCAATTGACATTCTTGGTCAACACTATCGAGGAACAAACAACAGCACAATCAGTCGCGGATCACTTGTTCAGGCAAAGTTTGTTGGTAGTAATGGGAACATTATACTTGGATTTGCTGGACAAATTCAGTATCTTTTTACACACTCCTTCCAACTTCCACCCACGCACAATCTCCATCTGACTCGCATGGTTCATGATCATCAACATGTATTCGCATTTATCAAGTGGTTTCGTACTTCCTCTGATAGGTCGCGTGAGGATGACGGTGTTGAATTTTGTTTGCCCACGTTCTCTCCTGATAGCTACCATAGCATTATACCTGTACATCGCATCTTATTAGAGGTTGCTACAGCTACTATTGTGACAAGTAGAAATGTTAGCAAAATGCTGGTAATTCCATTGCCAAAGAAGCTATATGCTTAAATAATAAATAAAGTGAACTTTTACATTTCTTTTTCTTTAACAAAAAAAACAGAGCGCGTATTTCTGATATATATATTGATAGTATTTTGTATGTGAAAAGTAATATATAGATAAAAAGAGAGAGGCAATTTTTGTTTATTTAATACCCGTCTCTAAGGGCCCACTGAGGAAATTTGGGGGTTATGTCATCTGGGACTGCTGTATTGGACACACTGGTGAAAACCCTCTCCTTCATTTGAGAAGCACTTGACCCCATTGCTTCAATAACATACTCATCAACGAGTTTAATGAGAGTATTGAACTAAAATGATTTTGTTAATACTTCACTTTATATTTTTTATAATAAGACATAATTATTAATATAAAATAATATACCTCGTCACTTCTCCATTCTGGCCGAACAATCTTGACGATGCTCTTCGTGCGATTCTCGAAGTCTTCATCTGCAGATTCTCCATCGGACATTGCTGCCATTTGCATCGTGAAGTCACAATCTCTCTTCATTTGTAGATCAATTGCTTCTTTGTTGTCTGTGTATGCAAGTAAACGGCGAGTATGATTCTAATAGTAGTTTTTTTGTATTAGTATTTTTAAAATTCTCAAGACTAAACTATATTATTTTGAAATTATTTATTTAGAGATTACACTTACATCTCTGGCACGTCCTGCCCTTCTCGAACGAGTGTTTGTTGCTTTTATTTCCTCTTCGGTTTTTCTTGCTTTTGAAACCCGGCTGGTGAAGTTTTTGTGCAGTCTTGCTCTCAAGTCTGCCTCTCTAAATCCCTCATGGGTAAACTTGCGCTTCAAGTTTTCAAGAAGTCGCACCACCAACTCCTTGTTTGGCGACTTGTAAAAGAAAACATTTGTATTCCATCTGGGCTTACTCTCATTTGCCAGGATATCAGCTTGATTTCTTGTTTTCAGCTTGGGATCCCACATGAGATTACGAATATGGGCCTGATAGAATATATGAGAAAATACATCGATAAAATTTTGCACACGTTGATACTCACATAAACATCATTAGAGGCCTTCTTGCTAAACTCAGATGGGGCGTTGAAGGCAGGCTGAGAAACATTAGCCATTGTATTGGTAGGGGAAACGAGGGGGGCTCTGCTTAAACTGTCAATAGCAGTGATTGTCTCAGTGCTGCTGGTGGCAAGAACACCAATTCTGCTATTCATGTTTAGCAATGTATCTTCAACAGTGCCGATTTGTTCTTGTACAATCGACATGTCAGCTGCCATGTTGGTTCCCATGGCTGTCATATTAGTTTTCAAAGTAGAAAGAATTTCCATCAATTGTTCGTTTGTAATCTCAACGGGACGAAGAGCAAGTTGACGTCTTTGAATAGGCATTGTCTACAGAATATAATAAAAGGTAAAAATGTAACTGTTAATTTTAGATTACATTGTTATTGATGCTATTATACAATTGAATTGAATTGAATTAAAAATAAATTATATCAAATTTACATACTTAAATTATTTGAAATAAAATGGGTTGATGTGTGTGTGTTTGAGTATGAGTGCAATAAGTAGCAAGAAAGCAGGAGAAAGAGTAAACAAATTGTATAAAACGTATGGTTTATATAGATATTCAGCATATCTTTGATATATAAGTCTCTATTAATACTTCTTGTAATCACTGAGATGCAAATCGGCTTTCATACTGCTTTAGAACCCAATTGATCAAACCAGTCTAGTCTTTTGTTTCAAACGCACTTTTCTTTTTTCTTTTTTTTTCTTTTTTTGTTGTTGTTCCTGTTTCTCTTTTTTTTTGCTCTTTATATTTGCTATTGGTCTTTTCTTTGTTTCTCTATCTCTGCAACTTCTATTATATTTGCGAACTATTTGTATAAGACATGTTCTTTCTAAAAAGTCTTCTTTATAGAAAATAAAAGAATTTATTTATTCTGTTGCCATAGACACACTCTTCGTCGCTGTCTCCACCCATTTTTTTATTTTTTTATTAGTCTTTTTTTTTAATCTGCTTTTTTAAAGTACGTTTTTTATATAACTAAAAAGAATTAGTTGTTTCAGTTGCCATAGACACTCACCCTCTCTTTTCTTTTTACTTCTTTCTTTCTCTTTTACTCTTATACTTGCAAATGTTCCTGGTAAGGCGCTTTTTTTCTTTATTTTTCTTTATTAGTAATTTCTTCAAATATAGCTGAGTAATAACAAGTGTTTCTGCTACCATAGTCACTCGCGTATAGTTTCCTTCTGATGCATCCTCTTCACAATGGCCATCCGGATTAGCCAAGGTTAGTAAATATACTTCATGCCATCATCTCATAAAAGTATCCTGATTTTTTCCTTTCTTTTTTATAGGACATATCACCCAAAATATTTTCTACAGCTAAACACGACCACCAACACGGTAATATTTTTATCTATTTATTTATTATATTTCTCTTTAATATTAATCAAACTGAATTCAATTTTTACTATAGATGAACAACCCTCTCTAAAACATGCTATGAATCAAAAGCTTCTATCTCATGCTGCTGTCATTGACATGGTAAGACTTTTTTTGTTCTTTTACTATCCTTATATGTATCATTATATTACTTATACTGTTTATTAATAAAAAAACTACCAGATACTATATCGACTTTTGATAAGTATTATCTATATCTACAAATAAATCTGTTTGCTTTGGGTATATAAATTAATAATTATATCGCCCAATTCACAAAAATTAATTTTTTCCAATCATTTTCATAGTCAAAGAAATCAAAATTCCATAGCTTTACTTGTAATATTTTATTGTTTGGTCTTTGTACTGGATAATTCCAATGTAAGTATTAATGGTTTATAAGAATTGAAATATCCAACACACACGCACACCCATCACTAACGATTTATCTATTCTCAAAGAGTACTGCTCGTACCCCAAAAAAAACGTATTGAGCAGCTCATTTTTTTTTAGGTATTTCTTTTTTGTAGAAAATTTTTCATCCCAAATATAACAAACCGACCGAGCAAGAAGTAGCTAGAGATATAGAATAGTATTATTAGATCTGAAACCTAGAAACATTCTATTCTTTCCAATAAAAATAAAAGCGTAAACCATTACCAGCCTAATAAGAACGGGAAACCAAATAAATAAAGAACATATTACTGGTCCATAATTTTAAAGACGCCTTTTTTTGCTGCTGATGACCAAACTTCTTAACAATAAACTAGCTTAAAGGTCACCTTTACGCTACTTTTAATCTTCATAATATGTCGGTGCCTGACCTTTATGGTTCCATATAAAGAATATCAAAATAGATACGCAGTTTTAAAAAACTTTCTTTTTATATATCAAGTCAGATAAGTATATCTAAAGTGCTAACAAACCTTACCTGCGGCACCCCCCACCCACAATTCCGCTAGTTGACTCTAGTCATTCCACTATCTGTGAAGGTCACCTTCAGCACAAGTGGAAAAAAAATCAACTAATTTAAATATGGAAATTACACTACACTATACCCCATATTTAAACTACCTTATTTTTTTAATTTTTCCAGTGTTTGGTTGTTATTCTTAAAATAGAATTCTATGTAATTGTCATTCTGATTGGCTGACAAGAATTCGGGTATGAAATGATTATTATTAGAGAGTGACTCCTTATTCATTTTTGAAGATTATCATTTTTATTGAAAGTTTATATTTTCTGATATATCATAAATATTTAACCACAATAGTGACTGCCAATATATTTTCTTTTTTTGAATTGTTTATTTGAAACAAAGATCATATATTCTCTGAAAGGGCTTTTTTATTTACATATATTGCTTTTAATATGTCTATTATCAATATTACACTATCAAACACAAACATTTACACTCTTGCAACAATTACAGAGTCATTGAAATACTCAGCTATTCCTGGAGTTATGAATATTAGACTCAATAGCACTATTAGAGGTAAAATATTTTAATGAAACAAATGTCTTATAGAAATGGATGAAGCTTGTTCTGTCAAATAGACTACACATAACTTTAATAAGCAACATACTAATACCTTTGCAGAAGAAGCCAAAAACAGTGGCATTAACATATGTTTCTCACAGAAGTCACAGCAAAAATCATTGGAAATTATTATAATAATAGGTCTTGACTATTGGGATATTGTGTCACATAAAAGATAGTCATTCATAAATATTAAGGATATCATAGTTGATGAGTTATTAAATAAAGTATCAAAAATCATTAAATATTATATTATTCAAAAAAGAAAAACTGGGAGTTTAGGTATAATGTTTATCTATTAACTGTTTTTGGGAATCAATTATATAGATTATTCTGAATGCAGAACAATGTATTATTATGTCTAAGGACAATCCTGCTCTTATTTCAACCATAATTAGTACTCCAGCATTCTTACTGTCTGTCTCTCTCAATGTATAAATAATTTCTCTGCATTCTTCTGTCTCTGTCTCTGTCTTGTGCTGTTATGATATACATAAGCTTATGTATATCACAACATGTCCTATCTCTAGCTTTCTCTATCTCTCAATATTTAGTATAAATACTTGCTCAATTGCTATCAATAAAAGACCATCTTTCTTAAGTTCATAATCTTTGTCTCCCAAGCCTAGTTGCCTAAACTAGCCTTGTATCCCTACATAACTCCACATAGTTATTACATGGTGGAGAAGCTGGGCGTTTCCATGACACCACCACCTTAACTGTTGCCCTGCTGGGTCGATCAGTGTGCCTCACCTTCCATGTGGTAGACCATCTAGCCCACGATGTAATCTTGAGTTATCCAGACATCAAGTGACTCTCTATCACAATTGGCACTTCATTAGATAGTATCAGGTTCGACTCCTGTGCTACCATCTCGAAACCAACCAGCTGTACACCCTCACCATATAGCTCTTTTGCATAAGCTAATTTTTGCTTAAAAAATCCCATTACTCAAAAACAACCAATTAACTATGCATCCACTCCCATCCCTGTTCCACTAACCTTGCTAACCTAAATAATCTCTGTTTTATCAAGTTGCCATAAGTCCAAAGAGATTCACCAACACAAACATCTTCAAGACAGTTCCTTCTTGACAGTTTAGACTGGCAAAATTGTCGGCTGATCAAATGTTTTGCAGCCCCAAGAATGCTCAGCTAAAAGCCATTTTGGACGAGATGCTTGCACGCGCAGCCATACATAAAGAACAGCACAAAGCTCTGCTTAGCAAGATAGATATAATTGTAGAACACTCAATTGCACTTCAGAAACAGAACAGCACTCTTACCAAAGAGCTCCGCATTGCAAATGAGCACGTAAAGTTTCTACACAATTAACTCCAGCTTCAGGTACAAGTACCTGATGCTTTAGCCTTCACTACCACCACTCTACCGCCTACAAAGATTGCTCCTGTTGAGAATTTTTCAGTGGAAGACTCTGCCCATGGTTCTGTCACCATTCCTACACCTTCACCCACCACGTTTTTGGCTGCTTCCAAGAAGGCAATAGGAAAGAAATCCAACCAGCCCAAGCTCACCACTGCCCAAGCTACCCGTGCTCTGCAACCCAAAAGTAGACCATCTGCATATGCATTTGTATACCTGCCCTGCTGCCACCACCTCAAGTACTCCCAAATATGAAAGCTCTTGAGAACATTCAAGATCCAACAGTCCTGTGTCTTAGACATTGTGTTCCCCACTGGAAAAACACCCCTGAATACAATAGTGTCAAAATAATTCAGTGATAGTGTATATGTAGAGTATATTTTATCTCAGTACCACTTTTTGTGTTCAAATAAAAAAGCCTGCTTTTATTGCATTCTATTGGCTCGGATATAACAAGCAACAAAGGTATTTTATTTATTACTATAAAGTCTTTGTGAATAGATAAATATAACATATGTTTCCCTTTTATTTCATTATTAAAAAAACACAAACGTCATGTCTTCTACTATCGAACAAAACTTGGAAGAGTGCTATTGTACCGAGTGTATTAAAAATTATAATGGATACATCTTAGTGTCAAAGAGAACTGTCCAGCATCATGGCAAGAAAGCAGCTTTAAAAGATGCTATCAGAAGTGAACTTGGTATGCCATTTACAATATAAAATTTGCATTTTTATATACTAATAGCTTCTATATTAAATACAGGTGCGCAGAGACATATAATGAACGTTGGTGTGGAGTGTAAGACATTTTTATTTGGGTATCAAAAAAACAACTTTCTTATTATATTCCATATTTGTAGCTATTGTAGTCCAAAAATCTGGATCTGTAGAAGTTCTTGCACGCCAGTCTGACTTATCCGTTTTGGATATCTCCCCTATGTCAGTTGACTATGAGGTCGATGTCAATTTCAATGACATGAACTTTGAGTATGAGAGCAATGGGAATGCCAAAGATACTGTTGATATTGATGTTGAAGAAGTCGACACTGAATGTTCATATGAAAGTCAAAAAAAATCTAAAAAAAAGTCAAAAAAATTAATATTTTTTTATATTTTTAAATAGACATGTTTTCAAATAGTAGTATGCCTGAGAATCCTGTACACAGATTCATCACAACATTCACTATGCAATTTGCATCCCGCTATGTGGTCAACAAAGGTGCAGTTGTCTTGATTAAGTTCATCAATGAGCTCTTGAAGATTTATGAGCAGGACTTCCAGCTTCCCACGAGTCTGCCTGGTCTTCAGTGTATGATGGGATTCTGTGAGCTCTCCAAGGGGATAAGACGATTTGTGGCCTGCGAAGATTGCCATGCAACTTACAAAAAAATCAATCTGTTCCTCCTCACTGTGTCTTTGTAAAGACAGATGCTTGTGCAGCTTGTAACTGTGAATTGATAAAGAAATCTTCATCTGGTGCTTTGGTTCCCAAGCATAGTTTCCATTACCAGTCTATCAAAAATGCATTCAAGATTCTTTTTAATTGTCCAGGCTTCGAAGAAAAGATACATTAATGGAATACAGAACCAAAATTAGTGGACACAATGTGCGATGTATACAATGTTGCAGTTTGGAAAGAACTCAAAGATAGTAATGGTGCTTCGTTTGTTGAGCAGCCTCGTTTGCTGATGCTGACGCTCAATATTGACTTGTTCTAGCCGTTCAATAAAGTTATATACTCTTGTGGTACAATCTGCTTGGCCATTAATAACTTTCCTCGAAGTGACCAGTTTAAAGCCAAGAACATAATCCTTGTAGAACTTATGCCTGGTCCCAAGGAGCCTAAAACTGATGAGATAAATAATTATCTTGAGCCAATGGTAGATGAGTTAATACAGCTGTATTGTGGGATAAGAATCCTAACATTCAAGTCTCCTGCTGGCGAAGTGATTCGTGCTGCATTGATGATGGTTGCCTGTGACATCCCAGCTGCCAGAAAGACTGGCGGATTTACTGCGCATAATAGCACTTGCGTATGCTTTAAGTGCAACTGTCATTTCACTCGCCTTGACAGCACAAACAAGGTTGATTTCCGTGGATTTTGTGGTATTTCAGGTACGAAACAATAGAAAAATAATAAATTTGATAATAGAGACATATAGAAATAATTTGAGACTGTATATAAGTTATCCTTTATTCATAAATAAAAAAGATCTCTTTTTATAAGAAAATATAATCTGCTTTTGTCATTACGTCTTAGTTTCTTAAGACTTTCTTCCTTTACTATATTTGGTTATTAGAGTGTATTTACTGCTTAACTAGTGTTGGTGTTACAATTATGACATCAAGTCATAAATCGTATTTCTTTAGCTCTTAGCTATTCTTTTCTCTTTTACACTAGAGCTTTAGGACTTCCTACTAAATTAGCTCCATATCGCTCTGACACAGTTTACCTGGCAGTATGATATTATTATTTTAGCAATCTTTAAGATATTATCTACAGTACTAACTGTAATAATTATTGGCCTGATTACTTAATCGTTTATATATATTTTATACTGACAAGATAATAGCTACTACACTATCCCAATATGAATATGCTCTTATATGTCATAAATCCAACATCCGAGTATCTGGATCACCACAGATTTAAAGAGTCTGAGTGGTGTCATTGTAACTATGAGGAGAATAGGCTGCATGCGGAGGAGTGGAAGAGCACAGTTATCATCTCAGAAAGGCAGCATCTGGAAATTGAAAAATGGTGTTCGATGGTTGCAGTTGCACCGCCTTGGATACTTTGATCTAGTACGTGAAACAATCATTGATCTCATACACAACCCATTCTTGGGGACAGCAAAAAGAATGATGGATTAGTGGATTGAATGTGGTGTTCTTAGAGACAGAGATTTCACCGCCATGCAAAAGATAGCTGATAAGATGATTGTGCCAAGGAGATATACTGCATTGAAAAGCAAAATTGACAAAAAAATTGCATTTATGAAAGTGGACGAGTGGAAGTTATGGGTATTAGTATATTCTCCTGTGATGTTGAAGTCGGTGCTCTCATCCTTGCATTTCAATAACTGGATTGATTTTGTCTATGCCTGCCGTCACCTTGTAAAGCCCAGCATTACATTTGATGATATTAATACCAACCATAGACATCTCGAAAATTTTTGTGAAAAATGCAACGAGATTTACACCATCATGATCCTTACCTGTAATATGCACTTACGCCTCCATCTTTGAGAAAATATTCTCGATTTTGAACCAGTATATAATTATTAGCTCTTTGTATTCGAAAGATACAATGGCTTACTAAAGAATATCAGCACAAATGGTAAGGATGGTTTTGAAGCCACATTTATCAGATGTTTTTTAAAGATATGTACAAAAGTGATTTTGTTAATTCTACTCTCACATGTCCCACTCAAGCTCCCTTTCTTCTTGTTCTTTCCAAACTTGTCTGTTTATCTACATCTGTCCTTACCTTGCCATCTGCCTCCTCCACAATTGTTCAGCCACCATTCACATTGCAAGTATTTGTGTATTCTTCTGAAACTACCAGAATTCCTATCTTAGGCAATGAACCTCTCCCACCTACATCCTTCCCACTTTCAGTTAGTAAACCTTCTTCAATGGGTGATATTAATTATCTCCATTTGTTGGAATACTACAGACTTGCGTCCATTATCAAAACGCTGCTGCCTCTCCATTCTTTGTCAACAATCAGATTATAAAGTTGAAATTAATCAATATTCTTGGCCAAGTGTACTATAGCAATAATGGCACCACTGGCCGCAGATCATATGTCCAATCATTGTTTCTTGACAGTAATAGAAGTACAGAAACAACCTTCACTTGTCAAATCAAGTATATCTTCATTCATTCATTTACTCCTCCTCCAACGTCTCCCTACTATGAAGCCAATTCCACTTATCATGATCAACATGTATTTGCGTTTGTCAACTGGCTTCCTTTACTTGGAGATAAATCACGAGAGAAAGATGGAGTTGATATTTGTGGTTCAACACCTTCGCCATCGAACTATCATTCAATTTTGTCTGTACATAGAATCTCTTTAGAATTAGCAATTGCTAATCATACAACAGGACTTGTCTAAAAAAAACTGGTAATTGTCTTACCAAAAAGCTTTATGCTTAAAAAAAAACAATAATAAATATCCTTTCATTCTTTTCTTTCTTTTTTTTTAAAAAAAAAGTAAAGTAAATTATGATAACAAAAAAGAATGGAGAAAAATAATTACTATCTCTATATAAATCGTCAGCATTGAGTTTGTGAAGATGAGAATAAATAAGATGAGATAAACAATGATTTTTATTATTTTTATTGTGGCCCATCTCTAAAGGTCCATGGAGGGAAACATAATGCGACGTCATTGGGAACTGGTTTCTCAGACAGGCTGGTAAGATTTTCGTCTAACAACTGGCAACTGTTGTTACCCAAGTTTGCTTTCACAATTTCATCAATGTTGAAGATGAGGTTATTACACTAAAAACATATTTATATATATTATGTTAAATATTATTCAAATATAGAAAATTATTTCTTACAAAATTATTTAGCTCATCACTTCTCCAAAAAGGATGAGTAACATTCACAATGCGCTTGCAAGGTCTCCTAGAAAACTCATCCTCTGACTCGCCTTCAGACATTGCTGATCTGATCATCAGCTCAGAACAGTTTCTCTTCATTAAGGGCAATGATATGGACATGCAAGAAAAATTAGGGTCGGACATGCAAAAAAGACCAAAAGGGAGAATTAAACGTGACGTCACTTGTAATTGGCCTTTGGGAGTGTTACTGACAAATTGAGCACTGATAAGACATGCAAAAGCAACCAAATTGAAGAATTAAACGTGACGTCACCTATAATTGACTTTTGGGAGTGTTACCAACAAATTGAGCACTGATAAGACATGCAAAAGTGAGCAAATTGAAGAATTAGACGTGACGTCACATATAATTAGTTTTGCGTGTTACACGCATTTTTTTTTGGGGGGATCAGATAAATTACCCTCCAGATTGCCAATTAAATCACTGCCCTTTTTTACTACAACATCAGCGCATAATTTTTTTTGACATTTAACATGAGCAACATTAACAACATCAACAACACCAACGACTTTGTCATTGTTAGCGAGACGTCAAAGAAGTACAATGCTGCCTTGACTGAGTTCAACTCAATTTTTCTTGTTGGAAGAGAATTCTCTTCAGTCGTAGCTGTTCGAGAAGCTGCCAAAGCATATGGTGTCAAGCATAACATTGCTCTCACTACTGAATATGCATCAAGCTCTCGCATCAAATTGATTTGCAAGCACTCTGGCGAATATAGAGATACCAGAAAAGCCGAGAAGGTTGCTTCCAAAACATCAGTTATGGGTGAAACTCTTCCTGGATGGGAGAGAAAGCGCGAAAAAGACACGCAGAAGCATGGCTGCCCTTGCTTCATGTATGCCAACACCAAGAAGGGTGGAAAGCTCACTGTGCGCTCCCGTGAGGCAGAGCATAATCACCCCATCGAAGAAGACCGCAGAGCATATGCTATGCACCGCAAGCTCTCGCCTGAGGCAATGGCGCTTGTGGTTAAGCATCTGGAGAACAATGACGATGTATCCACCATCTTCAATAGTTTGAAGATAAATGGATATACAAACATTGTTCGCCATGACATTGCTAATATAAAGCAACATTTCGGAAAATCGGAAAAAGGAAAGGAGATGTTTGACTTTATCACCACTCTGCAAGATCTTGACTTCCATGTCAGGTATTCTGTCGGTAATACAGAAGACAATCAAGTGAATATGGTCTTCTTTGTGCATCAGGATGCGATCAATGAGGCACAAAGAATGCCTGAGACTGTCATTATTGATGCCACATATAAGACAAATAGTCATTGAATGACTTATGTCAACATTGTTGGTACTAGCAATGTGAGTGGAAACCCTCGTACCACTTTAAAGACGTATCCAATTGCCGGTGCTTGGGTAGAGCATGAGACAGAAGAAAATTATCTCTGGGTGCTTAGCTGTCTCCGCGATGCAGTCTGGCCCGATGACAACAACAACAACAACAACAACAACAGCAACAGCAGCAACGACAAACAAACAACACTTCTCCCAGATGTTTTCATCACGGACAATGAAAAAGCATTGAGAAATGCTATTACTCAAGTCTTTCCTGAGTCGAAGCAGTTGTTGTGCTATAAGCATATCAAAGACAACTTTAAAAAGCAATTGCTTCCGATGATGAAGGGAGACGAGAGTAGCGAAAAGAGAGACCTGTTGGATAAGCTGTCAGAATTCCTTGACCGAATTGCTTTAAAATGCATTACACATCAAGAAGTAAAAAACGAAACAAATGGATATCTTGAATTTGCAAAGGAAAATTGCAAAGACCAAGGAAAAGCTGCTAGTGCTTTTCTTGAGAAGTACGTATAAATTTTTTAAATTTGATGTAAACAGTATTTAACTATAAAAAATCGTGTTTTTTTTAATATACTTTATCAGAAAAATGAAAGACAAGGAAAACTGGGTGAACATGTATGTTTACAAACATGCCCATTTCGGCAATCGCACGTCGAACCATGCAGAAAGTGCCCATTCTTCTCTCAAGCATTCTCTTGGTACTTCCTCGGGTAAACTGAAGACAGTTATCCTTAAAGTAAAAAAGTGGTATGACGAGTTGGTAAGTTTATTCTATACTATTTTATGCATTTATTGGTTATAATATATTTATAAATTGTACAGGTTGCAGATCGCAAGCATCGGCTAATGGTGGAAAGCCTTGGAGAAGGAACAAAAATTGTGTTCGATAAAGTCAATGCCGCCAGACTAAATGACATCCGTCTTAAAGTCTGTAGATTTGCAATGGATCAAATCAAATTAGAATTATCCAAATCCATTATACCCGAAAAACTAGCCAAAGAGTGCAAATGCCTCATACAATACAACTACCTGCTTCCTTGTTACCACACACTCGCCAAATTCGATACCATCCCAATCTCCTGCATCCCAAGACGCTGGAGAAAAAACTATCTAGAAGGAGAAAGTAATATATATAATAATAGCAATAATTACGTGACGATTTTCTCATATAACATTTTATTATGTAGACCATTTAACTATCCAAAATGCAACCCCAGTACCCCCAAACATCAACAATATCAAACCAATAACCCCAGAATTCAACTATGCTCTTGAGCTTATTTGCAAACATTTCGCCAATGCTCAGAGCGAACAAGAACAAATCAATATATACCAATTGATAGAAAAAACTTTGAAACAAATCGACGCACAGAAACTCGAAAACCTTAAGGGCCCAACAGTAGTCGAAGCCATTAAAGGCCGACCAAAAAATACCAAGCGCAAGATGATTGCATTAGAGCATTGCATCAATACCGAAAAAGAAAAAATCACAAAAAAAATTAAAACAGAAAAAGAACAAAAAAAGTAAGATTTTAATATTGTTTAGATTTAATTTACTAAATCTTTGCTTTGTTTTCTAGGCAAAAAATATCCTCAGCTAAAGAGCAAAAAGCCATAAAAAATATTATCAACCTTGGGTCACCATGCGATTCCACATTACTAACAAATCTCACAATCGCACCAAAACATATATCAACAATCTTTTCTCCTGAAGCAGACGGAAATTGTGGGTACAGGGCGATAGCAATGGAAGTGTACCAGGACCAGGAGGAGTGGTCAAAAGTAAAAGACAAAATGCTAGAAACATTTTTAAAGCACCAAAACAACTACTACCACGGAAGAATGGAGCATGGCAATATGCCTGCATCCAATAACCCACTAATTCGCAGTCTCCAAGACAAGCGCTCATCTCTCCCCCAGCAACATTGGTTCGGTACAATCGACCATCCTCAACTTGTAGCTGATACATTTAGCAGAGCAGTGGTTGTATATTGGAATACTCCAATTGAAACAGGCGACTGTCTTTTTGTTCCATTTGCTACCTTGCCAGAAAAAGTGGAACCGATAATTATTATCTTAGATGTAAACCACTTTCTTCTTGCCAAGCGCAAAAACACTCGAAATTTCTGCTGGCCAAAAATCAACCCCTTTCATAAAAGAATAATTCAAAAACATGGCCTTGAAGATTATTCTTTGATGTACTAACAATCAAGGTATGGCTTTTAAACTAGAATTATCTTGAATTATACTAACTTTTCATATATATCTTTTTTAGATTTTTTTTTTACTTTTTAGATTCTATATTTATCTCTATTATCAATATTCCCTTCTGTTTCTATTCAATTTATTATTATCTTTCTATTTATCTATATTTCTATATTTATCTTCTTTACAATCTTCCATTTTTATCTTTATATCTATCTCATTATCATTTTTTATATTTTTACAATCAACATTAATTTTGAAACATTTAACAAATATCAAGGCTGACCCCCCAAAAAAATGCGTGTAACATGCAAAACTAATTATATGTGATGTCACGTCTAGTTCTTCAATTTGCTCGCTTTTGCATGTCTTATCAGTGTTCAATTTGTTGGTAACACTCCCAAAAGTCAATTATAGGTGACGTCACGTTTAATTCTTCAATTTGGTTGCTTTTGCATGTCTTATCAGTGCTCAATTTGTCAGTAATACTCCCAAAGGCCAATTACAAGTGACATCACGTTTAATTCTCCCTTTTGGTCTTTTTTTGCATGTCCGACCCTAATTTTTCTTGCATGTCCATATAGATCCCCTTCATTAAAGCATCAATGACATCCTTGTTTAACACATATGCCATTACGTGGCAGTTGAAGTGCTGTAATTTTATATATATGAATATTAATTCTATGGTTGAATTTGGGATGAAATATAAAACAACACTCACTTTAGTTTCTCTTGCAGCTCGTCTTCCGCAAGCGTTAGTGGCAGCTCGCATCATAGGATCTTCCCTGTCCTTACGAGTTGTACTCTGGAAGTTAGTGTGCACTATAGTACAGAATTCGCTTGTTTTTATACCCTGCCCAACAAACTTTGGGAGCAGGTAACCAAGAAGATTGGCAACGATCTTCTTGTTGAGGCTTCTATTAAAGAAGACATCCGTTTCCCGCCTTGGCTTTGTCTTGTTGGCATTGACAAGGGCAGGATCATTGAGAGTAAATTTGTCCCTCCGCATGTACTCTTGAATCAACTTCTATTTAACAAAAATGGTTAATGGTTAGAATATTGGATATAGTAATACTTACAAAGACTTTGTCCTTGTTTTCGCAGCTAATTTCAGAAGCGATGCCAGCAGGAATTCTGACAATGGAACTGGCAGCAACAGAAGGATTATCAAGAGAAACAGAAGCAGATGTCTGGGATCCATTTCCTTGTCCAAAGCCAGCACAAATGACTTTATGCATTGTGGTGAGTTCACCACATACATCAACCATAAATTTCTCCATTTCTTTTATTTTCGCTAAAAGATTTTTATATTCATCAGATAAATTAGAAGCAATTTGGCGTATTCCAGTCATGATCTATAATATTAAATAAAGCATATTTTTCAGTTATTTAATTTTTAACTTTTAATTCACATTGTTTGATTTCAAATTAATGATTTATTTCTTATGTACAAGCAAGTATGTATGTGAGCAAGTGAAGAAGTGGAAGAGAGAGAGAGAGAGAGAGAGTGTGTGTGTAAGCAAAAAATGTTATAATAATCCAAACAACCTCTTTATATAAGTATACTAAATGGAACTGTAAATATATCAAAAATATCCTCTTGTAACTTTGGGATGACAATCCGTCATTATATTATCTTTTTGGACTCAATTGTTTTTTTTTCTTTTTTGTTTCAAACACACACACTTCTATTCTTTTCTTTTTTTATCTTGCCATTCCTATTTCCCGTTTTGTCCTTTTGTCTTTTTTATTCTTTTTTTTTCTGATTTTGGTTTTGTTTCATTTTTTCTTGAATTCATTTTTTTTCTCTCTCTTTCCAACTTTTATTATATTCATGGGTTTTTCTGGTAAGACATATTTTCGTGGCAAAATAAAATACTTCCTTACAAACAATAAAATAATTAATTCATTTCACTGCAATAGGCAAGCACACACTTACTCTGCCTCTCTTACACTTTTATATCCCTCCGTTTTTCTTTGGTAAGACGATCTCTTTAAAATACTATATATATACATACAACTAAAAAATAATAATTGTTTATGTTGTCATAGACACTCGCATTTTAACTTTTTCTGATGCATCCTCTTCACAATGGCCATCTGGATTAGCCAAGGTTAGTAAATATACTTTATGCCATCATTCTATAAAATTATTCTAACTTTTTTTTTCTTTCTTATAGGTCATATTGCCAAAAATACTCTCTGCAATTAAACACAGCCATGAAAATGGTAATATTTTATTTTACTTTACTTTATTTTTATTTACTTTTTATATTTATCTAAAAAATATGACTTTTATTATAGATGAACAACCCTCTCTCAAACATGCCATGCATCAAGAACTACCATCCCATGTTACCGTCATTGACATGGTAAGTCTTCTTTTTCTTTTATTTTTTTTATATGTACTACAATATTATTTATGCTGTACATTAATGTAATACAATATTCTACTAGAGACTATATCACCTCTTGACAAGTACTATCAATTTTTACATATAAATAGTTTTGCTTTGGGTATGTAAATTAATTATTCTATTGCCTAATTTACCTGAATTAATTTTCTCTGATCCTTTTTATAGTCAAAGAAAATCGGAACAAACGCCATATTTAATATTCCCAGTATCTTTTTGTTCAACCCATTTGTTTCTAGTATTTTCAATGTAAGTATATATTAAGTATATATTAATTTGCAAAAATTACTGAAAAGTATACTATCGAAACTATATAATTAATATATTGCCCATATTTTTTCAAAGGCTGTTGCATCCTAGCAAAAAAAGCCCATTATTTTCATTTTTTAGTGCTTTTTTCTATGCAGCAATCCTCAAAATAAAACAGTATCAAGGAGCCCACGGAAGAAGTAGCCAAAATATATAGTACTATCACAAGACCATCAACCTAGAATTGTTCTATTATTCTTTTTCAATAAACTTTAAATGAAACCAAAACAACCCAATAATTACGAGATATCAAATTTACGAGAGTATATTACCGGCTGAGAGCAATAAAGAGGCTTTTGTAGTTGAATATATTTAAACAAAAAGTAGTGTATAGGTATCTATACTCTAGTGTCAAAGATATGTGTAACTATAGTAAGGGAAACCCCATCAGATCCAGGATCAGCTCGCACTTTAAAGTATTTTAATAAAACTATAAGTTTTACACAAATGCCTATAGTGTACATACGTACTTACCATATAGAGAATACGAATTGGTCATATCTGCAGCACCTTGCTTTGACACCACACTAGTGTTCAGCTAGTCACGAACCTAGTGTCTAAAATACTCTGCCCATAGTTTACAGGTCACCCAAATCCATGCATATTTTTAAACTAAACACATTGGTATACCCATTCCTATACATGTGTATGTGAACCCATTTTTCCAGTGCTCACTTCTCACTATTATCTGAACTTCTGGGTTCTGGATGATAGGAAGCTCTTTAGTTAAAGAGTATTGAAGTCCCATTATTGTGCCAACTAAAAAAATATGTTTGCACAAATTATTAGGGTCTGGACAAGAGCCAACTGACAGGACTTCCTCTTTAAGCAAGAGCTCATACCAAACAGAATTGTCAGTAAAGGAGCGACACTTGTACACCTGTAATAAATAAATAAAAATTGATATTGATATGATTGAACTCAATGCACTATCAGTTATATACTCTTACCAAGTTGTCTTCTACAGTTTTAATCATGCAAAGAGCATCCTCGTGATCAACGTCAAAAGCCTTCTTCTTAGCCTTCTCAACATGAGTGAGAACAAGCTTCTTGAACCCATACATAATCTTGAGACCCTCTTGTCTATAGTCATGCTCAACTACTTGGGAGAACATGTAAACCAACCGGTTAACCCAGAAGTTTTTTGATCTTCCCAAGTAGTAAGCTTTCAAGATATGGTAATAGGATTCAATAAGATTGTTCGTGTGGAATCTGGCATTCTAATAAAAAACAGTAGAAACAGTTCATAAATAAAACATTATAATTGTATTAGCTTTACCAATCTCCAGGCCATCAACCAAAGGTCACTGTTGTGGGGAGAAAATAAAGCAAAATATAATATAGACGAAAGAATTCGTGAGAACTTGTGTAGGCTGTTTATTTCAAAAGAAAAGTAAAGAATGATAAAATTCGATTCTCTTTCTATACGGAACTATCTACGGATATTTATATGTTTTTCTAATTTGTAATTCAGTGTGTGCTTAAGTAATCTTTATCACAATGAGTCATCTTCCAGGAGTATTGTTCTTCTGGAAAGATCCAGAAAGACCAATTGATATGATACTTCTCCAGTCAGATCAGTCCAAGAGTTTTGGTAAAGAAGAGCATTTATGCTATTGGTAATATTTTAGTATTCCGACCCAGATACTCGGGTAATGTTTCATAATATTAAATAGTTGTAGTTGTAGTCTCTCAATTAAGTATTTGTATAATAAAAGAAATATGTAGATGAAATATAATGATGCCATATATATAATGTATATGTATTTGTATATCCCATGTCATGGTGATAATAATAAATAATCAATTATGTGTATGATGATCTGTATATTAGATAATATCATAAAGGGAGATCTGTTTGACTGGAATAGCTGAGGATATTATTTTATCCTTCAGTCTTACTCTCAGATTCAGCAGTAATCAATACTCATTCACAACAGTTACGCTTAGCATGCTAGTGTGTGGCAAAGTATGCCACACATTTCCCATGGCCAGCAAACTTGGAAACAAATTCCTTGTATTTCTGGTCAAACGCCTCCTTAGTCTTGGCATGTATCAGTAAGTTGAGGGTTACCCAAACTGCATCTTGCTCACACTTGCTTTCATAGGTGGCTCCAATAATTTTTATCTACAGCATTAGTAAAATATAAATAATTATTAGTAAAATTTAAGAATGAGTGTATTAACATAATTTACATCTTTTTTGATGTGCATTTCCCATGCTCTCTTGATGTGCCAGTAGCACAAAAGGATCTGAACCAACTGGCCAAAGACTTCCTCTAGGGCATCAATCTCGACTGGGCTGCAGTCAATCATCACGCACTTGACACACAGGCTACAGTTGGATTTAACCCAACTGAGCCATTGTGACAAGGTTGTGATTAATTCTGCATTAGTCACAAAGAAATAGACTGGACCACCCTTGTTTGTTACATTGCTTCTTACAGCAATTATATACAAATACGAGTGCTTCTTGAAATACACCAAGGATTTGCAAGTCTTGTGAGTGGAGTCAATGCATCACTCATCTGCCAACTCAAGAATCTGCTTAATGGTTAGTAATATTATATTATAACTTTTTGTTAAATAAAATAATATACCTTCTTCTGCCAAGGAGAGATCCACAAAACAAGATATAGCCCATTACCTTGATGAAAGACAATGTGAACCAGATAGTTCTTTTTTTTTCTAAGAGCTCGTTCCATTGCTTGACACTTGCCTTATCAATGGCGTTTTTTCTTGAAAGCTTGTTCAAATGAGCATTGATGCACAGAGACATCAGGAAACTAGAAACGCCAAGACTAGCTTCAAGTTATAACACAATTTAGTTAGCAAGCTGGATAAAAAGAAAGACTATTTACTACCTCTTCCAAGCGCTGAAAATCAATGTGAAGGAGCGTCTTGATGACCTTTCAATCCATGTTATTTTCCACATGGGACACAATCCACTGCTTTATCTTAGCAGGTAGTTTTGAATGAACCATGTCCTGGACTTTCTCAGGCTGATGGGTAGCATGCTGCCACAAGTAGTCTACAACAACGTTACCATTTTGCAAGGTCTTCTTAGTGATTTTGGCCTTGCAGCCATTCTTAATTGATCTGGTTTGAACCCTTTTGGCTTTCTGATTGCCAGTGTCTTCGACCAATTTGACCTTCTTGGGCAAACCCTGGTGGCCACAGACGAAGTACACAGTTGTTACAACGTCTTTGGGACTGACAGTTCTGGTGGCCTGGGATGCATGAGTGTTGGTCATGTTCCAGTCCGAGTGTCTTTTGGCCAAGTTCTCAAACCAAAAAGAAAAGGCTTCTCTGTAAGCAAAAGTCTCAGTTGCTTTGGGGTTACCACTCTCATAATTGGGTGCAATGCGGATCATGTGGTCATCATTGATCTCGTTGATGCTGAAGTTAGTGCGGTTGGAGCTCATTATGAGTGTAAACGGTTTATTTTTAGATAAAAGTATAGGGAAAGGGAAAGATGTACCTGAAAAAAAAACAATAATAATAACAATAGAATGTGCTGGACCAAAAACAATCTGGAAAGTCTGGTAAATACAAGACTGCTTTCAGTTTTGAGAATTTAAACTTATCGTAGTTAATATAGTATCTGCACTATATTCTCTATAGATATGTCCTTTTATATTCTATAATAGCCAATTCTTATTGGAGCAAAAGGACTACTTCAAAACAAAGTGTTTTTATCATATTTTTTGATTATACTTTGCACTTTATTTTATATTTTGACAGTTACAAAAAGGATGAAAACAGATAATTCAAGCATTGGAAAAAGAATAAAAACAGATAATTTTTTTCCACACAAATTTCGAGATTTTGGTTTATTTATTTATTTTTGATTTGGAAAACATGGGTTGATTTAATGGTTTGGTTTTTGTTTATTTGATAGAAAAATATTTTCAATTGAATGTAATAAAATTACAGTTATTCATTTATTCTTATTGTTAAAAGCTTCTGTTATATATTTGATATTGTTTTTTTTAGCTATACATAATTGCTATGATATTTATTTATTTTATATAATTTACTTACTCAGGTTACTGAAAAATCTAAAAGTAAAAGACAAAAAGTTAATTGATGGTCCAAAACAGTATCATAACCCATTTTATTTTTTTTGGAAATAAAAAATAGGATCCTCCAATGAAATGTTGTTATTTTTACTCCAAAATTTCCAAATATGGTAGTAGCAAGTTGATTAAACTGAAAGTCGAGTTGAGAATACTATTGATTCTGCTAGAACTTTCTAGTATTATCAATTCACGAGTTGAAATTACTGGTTTGCTCACAGTTTGATTAACTTTTAAAATTAAAATTTTCTTTTTCTTTCAAAAACTTATTTATTATGTCGCCCTTGCCTACTAATATCACTGCTTTTAAGAGATGCTTTGTTAACGAGTGTGATTCAGAAGAACTAGAGCATTTAATTGAGCAACAAGAAGCTGAAATTTCTAGCGGAATTCAAGTATAAATAAAACAGACAATAGATTATATGCAAAAAAATGCACACCAATATTAACAATATATCTTTATAACCTACTAGTATTGCTGCAATTTCTGAAGAGGTGCCTAAGAAAGCTTGTAGGGGTTGACCATCGAAAAGGATTATGCTGGTTGAAAATTCAACAGCTGAATCGTCCAGTTCAGCCAATTTGTTTACTTCTGTTGGCTCAAATGCCTTTGTTGCTCTTCAAAGTAGCTTGTCAATCAATGTGTCTGAGTTTGAGCTTGAACTTAAGGCTTTGCCAATGAAAGTACGTGCCAGCACTGCCGCAATTTACAGAATGCCCTTAGAACATTGGAAGGTATGTCTCAACTCAATAGAATAATAATCTATATTGTATTGATTGTATTCATTTTTTAATGTTGCTTAAATTGAAGGACTTTTGCAAAAAAAACCGACACAGATATCCTGTTGATCTTCAGTATCCATATACTGTTGGGCCCACTGAATTTGTTATTGCCTTCTTCAAATAATTTGTTTTCAAGCAAATGTATATGAAAAGTGTTTCAGTAGAGACTGATGTTAGAATACAAATTGGCTTAAGAACAGAAGATAATGAAGAAAGACAATTGACTTTGCTCCAAAGTAATACAAAATTGCATGAAATACATAAAAAAAATGCGTCAAATTATACTTAATCATCAACCCATTTTTATAGTTGCTGAGAATGCTCCTTCTAACAAGAACGGTAGTAAGAAAGTTATTGAAGTTCCTTTAGGTATTGAATCTGTCAATCAATATAAGAAAGTCTTGATGTTCTTGCACAAATTCCAGTCCAAGCACCAAGAAGTTGGATAGTCGTCTCCCAAGAAGACTAAAGAAGTGATCGAATTGATCAAGAAGTATGAACACGACCTTGTTTACAACCAAGTACAAACAAATGTAGATAGAGCAGCCCATTGTGTGATTCGGGACTCTTATAAGAATCCTGACAGCAAATCAGGCTTGCGCAAGATGTTTTCTATCTCTTTCCACCACCATATGCTACTTAGGGTTCAGAATTTGAGAAATTTAAACTTTGCGGATTGCTTTTGCACAATCATTCCAAAGAAACAGCACAAAGAAATGCAACAGACTCTTGCTTTGGTTTTTAATCTAGACAAGGGCAAGACTCTGAAGGAAGGAGAAGTCAAATTTGCATGTGCCATGTGCCATGAAAACATATTCAGATGTCCTTTTGGTACATTTGCCTTTTTTATGTTCAGTTTGCTTCAAGTAGGTTGGCCAGCTAAAAAAGGGACTTTTTTAAAATAATTTCTAACTTTATTGATAAAAATTATAGACCAGTGGTGACTTCTTAAACGAAGACAGATGGCAGAACTGAAAGGTATTGCGTGGACGTACCAGCCCTGAGAAGAGTTTAACTGGCGCTTCTCAATGGAAAACTGCAAAAAAGACACTTGCAGATGAAGAGATATTCATCACACGAGTAACATATGGTGGCCGTCATGCTGGGTCAATGGAAGCTGAAGGCTTAGGGATACCTTTTGATCTGATCAAGCGAGGAGGAGAATGGAAGGATTGACTTGGTCATTTGGAGACCCATTACTTGGGTAAACTCCCATCTCCTTTTGCCAGAGGTATGACTGGCTTTTGGGGAAAGCCTTTCTCACTGGCAAGAAATGGCGTGTCACCACCAATGGAATTACAAAAGATGTTATTTCCTTGGATCGAAGACTATTTTGGTGTCAGTAATGCAGAGTGGGTAGCTGTCTGTGAGAAGGAGATGAATGAAGTCGATGAAAACGAGGATGAGGATGAAAACATCATAAATTTTGAGATAGATGAAGAAGCAGATTCCGTAGAATTCGTGGAGGAAGATAAAAGATTGCAGTCGAAAGAAAAAAAGAGAAAAGGAAAGCAAAGAGCAATTCAAAGCAGTATCAATACAGCAAAGCGTAGATTTTTACGACTCTTGATACAATGCAGAAGAATAATCTTATAAGATGTAGCCATTTACTTGTACTTGAACAAAGAAAACAGACACATCAACACAAGAAACCTTCCGTTCTCAAGTAACAGTTTCAGAATGTTCCAAAAGGATATTGTAGCTGCCATTACCAGCCCTTCCATTGGTAGACTAGAAGAGTATGAAAGCCTTGTCCCTAAAATTGTGAATACAAACAAAGAGATAGCCAGCAGAGTGACAGAAGTGAATTATCGGATCATATGATTACAGCAACAACAAGAGAGCCAATTTGAGAAAAATGAAAACTCTTTTAACAACTTCATTGAACAAAGTAACCAGCAGAATTGTCTTCTGATGAACACAACACAGCAACTAGCTAAGGTTATAAAAATCCTCGTAATCTGGCAACATTGTTTAAATTCACAAATACAATTACTTATGACTACCAACAATGCTTCTCAAGGCATAAATACCAATGCCAGCTTGTCTCAACCGCCTATCATTCCTGTTCTTTCTACTACTCATTCCACTGGAAAAATAGGGTAATTTCTTCTATAGCGTAGGGTACTATTATTTGTGGAGTGATAGCCTAAATTTCCATCATTTTTATCTTTTTTATTTTTGATGGCGATGATAATGCTCAGTCTGTTTTATTGAATAAAAAAACGAGTTTACTTTTTTTTGTAAAAAATGTCTACGAGATTTCCTTTTCAGACTTGTAGCCATGTCGCAGAGTTAATAGTTGTATGGCACTTAAACCAAATGATATCTTTTGAGTGAGATAATAAAGCTTTTTATTGTTGTAATATTTATTTATAAGTATGATGAGATTAATGGTCGTGATATTACTACAAATATTTTTGTTGTATATGCTTTACAGCTAATAAAATGTACATGACGGCATGTTTTAACAAAAGTGTGTATTATTGTATTTTAGAATGAGGCAATCAATTACTGTTTAGAGAACTGCCCATTTTAACAACCAGAATAAACTATGTCATTTTGGCGGCTGGTGTAATTTGGAAAGATATATATTAAATTGTGTTCCTGAACAATTTCTATTCTTGTCAATTCTAAAGACTTAAAAATAAAACAGATACACACAATATGTTAAGCAACAACAACACTTCAGAATGCAAGTGCTCTAAATGCTCTTTCAATAGCATGGGATTTGTTTTGGTGTCTACTCAAACACTCAGAAGACATGCACAGCAAGATATTGTGAGATAATATCAATTGGGATCTTCTTGTAAGTTCAAATTTAAGAAAATTATTATTGCAATAATTTTGATTAAATATTTATTTTCATATAATATAGCCTCAGCTGTAGAATTAATATTGAATGACAATGACATGGAGATTGACTTTGAAGACAATGTTGATGCCAAAGATCAAGTTGAAGGTATGCATAGTATTTTTATTAAAGTTTTATAATCATTTATAATATCTAATAATTTGATTCTTTTTTACCCAAAAAAACAGCCGAAGACTTATTTCTTTTTGACATTAATTCTGTGTTTGATTCTAAAAGCAAAGATGAGAGTGTCATTGAAGCAACCATTTTGGATATTTCTTACAATGAATCTGATGATGTTAGAGGTTAGTACAAAAAACATATATAAATCAATAAAGTCAACAAGTATTGACTTTTTTCAAATAGATCACTTTTCTTCATCTAATATGCCAGTTGATCCTACTCATGCTTTCATTGCTTCTTTTGCTGCCTTCTTCATATCCAAATATGTTGTCAAGTCTGGTAGTGCTGTTCTGTTGAAATTTCATAACGAAGTATTGGCATACTTTGAACAGTCTTTCCGTCTTTCCCTAAGTATAAATGGTGTCAACTCTATGACTGGTCTCAGCGACATGACTCGAGGTGTCCAGCAGTTTGTTGCATGTGGCAATTGTAACAAAGTATACAAAGAGTCCAATGTTGTTCCAGAGTGCTGTAATTTTGAGAGACTCTCTGGTAGAAAATGTGGAAACACTCTGTTTTTTGCAACATCAAGAGCCTTGATTATTTCCAAAAAGATTTACATGTATAACTCCATAATCAAAACATTGTCTATTCTTTTTTGCCGTCTTGCATTCAAAGACACCATCAACCATTGGAGAACCAGAGTGCAAGTTCCAGACATAATGTTTGACATTTATAACAGTGCGAAGTGGAACAGTCTGCCAGGAACCGATCTGGACAGGAACAAGGGCAGGGAAAACAGACAGAGAAATATAGATAGATTCCTTTATGTTGTAAATGAGTATTGACTACTGCTGTAATTGAGAATAAGTCTGAAGGAAATAATATAAGGCCTCAGCTATTCCAGTCAAAGGTGTCTACCGATTACTTTATTATTTAACACACAGGTTTAGCATGCATGATAGTGATTATATTTCATATGATGATATCACCATAATATGGGATACATCAGTGGATTATTATAAGCATAATTATAACTCATAAACACATTTACTTTCGATGTTAATACTTCATCGGGACTACACACATTTATATAATTAATCATACATTAATTATCTCAAGATCACGTTGCTCTGATTAAGGCTCAGATAGGATCGATTACCTGACCCCAGTCATATAATTTTCCCAATCCAAAACAATATAAATAGCAGTAGTAGTTCAGTGTAGGAACCGGGTCAAACTTTGATACAAAATCTTTCTCAATAAACAAAACCTACACAAGTTCTCACGAATCTTCGTTCCTAATTTCAAATCTTGAATTCTTCCTCTTAAAAACTTCTTCAACTTCAACCACCACAACATTTTTTTTCGTGAACTACCATGAACCCCTCTGCTGAGAACTATCCCGCCGCCATCATCCCTGCTCATGATGAGGATGCCATGTCCGTCATGACTGAGGAGGACCTCATCGCCAGTCTGAGTGACAACATCTCCTTTGCCAGCTCCACCCCTGGACAATTTGTTGCTCCCTCTCCCCTTCGTCCCTTGGTAGCGAATGCTGCTACAACAGTCTTGTCTTTGTCAGAGAAACTTAGACTAGAACTTCAACAGCATGTAGAGGCTGTCAGCGCTGCTCACGCTATGAACGATGAGCAAGCAGCTGAATTAGCCCTTAATAAGGTCAGACGCGTCAAAGAAATGATAGATATAGAAATAGCATGCAGTCAGTACCTTTCGCCTTCTGTGAAAGTTGTAGAGAAGAGCAGTCGCACTGGAGGGTTGACTCTTAATAGAAGAGATCTTCCTAAGTTCCAGTTGGCAGACGATGTGATTAGATCCTTCCCAAATGAAGAGGTCTTTCACTCAGTAGACCACTTCCTTCGCACCTTCCAAAAGGTTATTGAGTCGTCCCTTCAGGACATTGAACTAGTTTGGAAGAGATTTTTGCCGCTCTGCTTGCCTCATAGTGACGATGGATGGGTAGAGATGGATTTGAAGAAGTGTGTAGATTGGAATGCGGCCAAGATCTGCTTTACAGCAAGACATGGATCGCGCTTGGTGACATCCCGTTCGGTAAAAGAGGTATTTACCATGGTAATGCTTCCTTCTGAGTCGATTGGAGATTACTCCAAGAAGTTCCTTCAGGCTGTGTATGATGCCGGCCTCCCCAAAAACGATGCTCGTGTTGCCGACCGCTTCCTCGCTTCCTTGACTAGGCAAGTACAGACACTCTTGCGGCTCACCATGACCAGATTGGACTTCAATGGCGAGACCAAAAGAGATTGGACTGTGGAGCAGTTGACGCAGATTGGCAGAGACATCCTTGGCGACGACAATCGCATGTATGCCGAAGCTACCCAGCTCATTCCTGGTGCCAACATGCACACTGAGAGGAGAATGGAAAAGAAGAGAATGGAGGCGTATCCTCGCAAGAAGGTGCACTCCAGCAACAACCAGCAGCACCGAATCAGTAAGCCGGAGCGTTCCTTCTTCTGCTCGCACCATGGTAAGAATACTACACATGAGTCGAGCAAATGCTTCACCCTGGCCAACAACAAGGCCAAAGTAGCTGCCCCCACCAAGCGCAACCCCTGCAGGCGGTGTGGAGAAAACTACTTCCGTGGCCACGTCTGTAAGGACAGTGAGCCAGTCCTGATGGTCTCGCAGGTCCCTGCCAAGGAGAAGTCTGAGCAAGTGCTCAAGGCGATCCAAGACAGTGTCGACTTGGAACTCGAAGACATGTCTTTCGACTGTAAGTACCTACTTGACAAAATTGAGAGAAGGGTTAAAGCCAATGATGCATTTAATCTAACCACTCCTATTATTGTAGAGAACCACAAACTACTTGGAATGATTGACACTGGCAGTGCACGCACTTTCATTAGTTTACAATGTTTGAATGAAAATTTAAATATAAATAAAATAAATTCATCAAATGGTTCCTTCACTTTCTTGTCAAAGAATAGTGGTACTAAGCGATTGGGAAAAACTGATCCTTTAAATTTTAAATATGTGAATGGAATTACGTTTAAGCATGCACCCGAGGTGTTAGAGTTTAATACAGGATTTAATTTTGATATTCTTCTTGGAAGAGATATCTTAACAAAAATGAACATCGGATTGATTAATGTTGCATACGATATCGAAGGAGAATATATTCATTCAGATAACGCTAAAGACTATGCCGCTGTGTATGAGAATCTAAATATCGATAAAGAGAAAAAGTTTGAACCGGATAATTCGCCAGCTGGTACGGAAATACAGCGAGCAGAATTTATTCAGTCAATTCAGGCCTCACTGGATGAAAATAAGAAAATCCCAGTCGAGTCCTCTTGTCCTTTATCAGAATCTCTAATTAGATTACCCACAAAAGAAGGCGCCACAGCTTATAGACGTCAATATCCTATTCCCCATGCTCTACGACCAACACTTGATAAACAAGTAAAAGAATGGCTTGAGACAGGCACGATTGTCAAGTCCAAGACCAATACTTCCTTCAACAGTCCTATGTTGCTTGTGCCTAAAAGAAACAAAGCTGGAGAGATTGTGAGTCACCGAGTTTGTCTAGATGTGCGATTATTGAATCAGATCCTACCTCCCACATTCAACTATCCAATTCCTAAAATCCAAACGATATTCCAGAATTTGAGTGGAAAGAAATTTTTCACCACATTGGATTTATCGAATGCCTACCATCGTTTCAAAGTTGCACCTGAAGATGTTCATAAATTAACATTCACTCATTTAGATGGGCAACAATATAGCTTCATTAAAGGCTGCTTTGGCTTGAAGATGCTTACATCACAATTTCAACATGTCATGGCAACTTTGTTTGATAAAATTGACTGTGTGCAGAATTTTGTTGATGATTGTATTGTGGCTAGCGAAACATTTGAGCAGCATGTTAAGGATGTAAAAATAGTGATTGATAGATTGACATCGGCGAAGTTGATTCTAAACTCTGATAAATGTGTCTGGTTTCAACATTCAGTGCGATTGCTTGGTTTTGTCGTCAATGAGACAGGCACCAAGGTTGATAAGCGAAAGTTGACAAACGTTGATAAATGGCCTATTCCTAAAACTGCGAAACAAATTCAGCAATTTATGGGTTTGATTAATTACTTCAGAGACTATATTCCCATGATCTCGAAGGTGGCTGAACCTATTTCACGATTAAGTCATGCCAACAATGTAGCTGAGCTATGGACAGATGAGCAGACAAGAAGCTTTAAAGCATTAAAGGACATACTGCATCAGGATTTAATTCTTCATTACGCAGATATGTCACGTGAAATGTATGTGGCCACAGATGCTTCCCTTTATGGAGTAGCCTGCCTGCTTTTTCAGCGCGACGATCAAGGGCGTGATAAGTATATTAGTTTTGTGTCAACTTCCCTGAGCCCATCCCAACGGCGATGGAGCACCACCAAAAGAGAATTGTATGCAGTCGTTTTGGCGCTTGATAAATTCCGTCCATTTCTATGGGGCCGACAGTTCACCATTTTTACTGATCATAAAGCACTCACTTATCTTCACACACAAAAAATTGCTAATCCCATGATAATTGGCTGGATTGAGACACTTCTTGACTTTGATTTTAAGGTGGTCCATATTCCTGGTTTGTTGAATAAACTACCAGACTTGTTGAGTCGCTTGTATCCTCCAGAGGATAGTTACAAGCTGGTGGAGGATGATGGATTGAGAAAAATCAGAACAAAACACTTGCAATCTAAAGATAAAGTTATTATTCGTAAGAAAAAGTACAGTAAGGACAAAGTGCTAAATGTACTTGCTACACAACTCATCGAAAATGTATCAGAGACTTCCGACTATATGTCGCCTCCTGAAGAAAAGCGAAATGGCTTGTTAAAAGAAGCACATTCGTTTGGTCACTTTGGTAGTCAAGCTATGGTGAATGATCTTCACTCTCAAGGATTACATTGGACTAATATATATGAAGAAGCAAAGGAGATTATTCGTTCTTGCTCTGAATGTCAGAAGCACAACATCAGCAAAAGAGGATATCACCCATTGACCAATGTTGTAGCTTTCCGACCATTTGATCATGTTGCAATTGACTTATGCGGTGAATTCCCAGTATCAGAGGATGGTCACACGTATATGCTAGTGTTAGTTGATGTTTGTTCCAAGTATATCATCTTGAGACCATTACCAAACAAAAACTCGACAACAATAGCTAAGGCATTGATAAAAATATTTGGAGATTATGGTTTTCCCAAAGTAATGCAAAGTGACAATGGGTTGGAATTTAGAAATTCTTTAATGGCAAGCCTATCGAAAGAGCTTGGTATTGATCGAAGATATTCAACGGCATATCATCCACAAGGAAATGGTATTGCTGAAGCCAGTGTGAAAGTTGCAGAGAATACTGTACGGAAAATGATGAGAGCGAACAGCAATGACTGGTGTCACTATTTACCAATTGTTCAGCTATGCATAAACAGACATATTCCTCAAAAGACACTGAGTGCACCCTTTTCACTAATGTATGCTCGCAGAGTTAATGTACCTGATGAGTATGGTGATAAAGCAAAATTCTCTCTTCCCAAAAACACGGTAACAATTGATGAATTGGAGAAGCAGATTGAATATATGGATAAAATAATATTCCCTGCCATAAACGAAAGAGTCTTGCGGATCAACGAAGAGTTAAAAAAGAAATACGATCATCTTAATAGACATCCCCAAAGGAACACACGTAATGGTCAGATTACCACATCGTCCAAATAAATTGGCACCAATCTATGAAGGTCCTTATACAGTGGTTCGAAGAAATAAAGGAGGATCGTATGAACTAAAGGATGAGCAAGGAGAATTGTTGCACCGAAATTACACACCCTCAGAACTCAAGATGGTTACCATCGATGAATCTACAATTGAGAATGAGCTCTATGAAGTTGAAGACATTCGCGATCATCGTGGTGCTGCTGGTGAAAGAGAATATCTGGTAAAATGGGTTGGTTATGGTGAACGGGCAAACACATGGCAAATGGCTAACGATTTTACCAATCCCACAATAATACAAAAGTATTGGAAGAAGGTCAGAGAAATCGAACGTTTAGAGAATGAGAGAGCCACGGAATTAGTGAATAAGAGTGCAGCCTCATTAAAGAAAACAGTTCAAATTCCAAGACATGATGGTAAAATAAAAAGGAATCGCATTGAAGAGTACAATGGAAGTAAGCTTCCTACCGCACTGAGTAGAGAAGAAAGAATGTCCAAAAGAAGAGCAACAAAAAATTTGATAAAATAAACACGTAATCCACGGAGCTGAGTTTACAGTGCAGATCTCTTGAAGTATAAAAAAAAATTATGAGCGTAATTGACCCAAATGAAATTGAGCAATTCGACAAATTAATAAATAGTTAAGATGAGATGTTTTGCCGAATCAACAAAAGGTATTGTTGAATCTGGTGGAGGATAATGTTGTAAATGAGTATTGACTACTGCTGTAATTGAGAATAAGTCTGAAGGAAATAATATAAGGCCTCAGCTATTCCAGTCAAAGGTGTCTACCGATTACTTTATTATTTAACACACAGGTTTAGCATGCATGATAGTGATTATATTTCATATGATGATATCACCATAATATGGGATACATCAGTGGATTATTATAAGCATAATTATAACTCATAAACACATTTACTTTCGATGTTAATACTTCATCGGGACTACACACATTTATATAATTAATCATACATTAATTATCTCAAGATCACGTTGCTCTGATTAAGGCTCAGATAGGATCGATTACCTGACCCCAGTCATATAATTTTCCCAATCCAAAACAATATAAATAGCAGTAGTAGTTCAGTGTAGGAACCGGGTCAAACTTTGATACAAAATCTTTCTCAATAAACAAAACCTACACAAGTTCTCACGAATCTTCGTTCCTAATTTCAAATCTTGAATTCTTCCTCTTAAAAACTTCTTCAACTTCAACCACCACAACACTTTATTAAAGAAGTTGTTTGCTTGATCTTTCTATGATCAAGCTCTACTGATATTTATATGAATATGTTTATGTCTGCTATTTATAAGATATAATTATGATTGATGTTATAAGTGTTCTGTCTATGGGAATGAATACAATGATTTGATTAGTCAGAGAATATAAAAAACGGAATCAGTTATGATTGGTCTAAAGGTCAAGACCAATTAGAGGTTCCTTACACAGTCTGAAGGATGGCAATGATTTACCATTTGTGAATCATGAGCGATCCACTATGCTTACCATGAATATCAATTGGTTTCAACCTTTTGATAGGGTCACTTACTTCTGTGGGGCAATATATCTTTGCATCAACAACTTGCCAAGATCAGAATAGTACAAGAAGGAGAATGCTGTTCTTGTTGGTCTCATGCAAGGGCCAAAGGAAGCAAAGACAAATGAGATCAATCACTACCTCCGTCCCCTTGTTGTGGAACTCAATCAGTTATATGGCAGTGTGGTTATGTTTACTGCACAGTGCCCATCTGATGCTCTTGTCTGTGCTGCTCTTCTTCTTGTTGCCTGCAACATTCCTGCTGCCTGTAAGACTTGTGGGTTTTTCTTCCGCTCAAGCACATTTGCATGCAATAAGTGCAATCAATAGTTTCCTTGCCTTCCAGACTCCAATGCTGTGGACTACTCTGGGTTTGTGTTTTCTGAGTGGGTGCATCGCACTGATGCCAAAAACTGTTGTGGTGCTGAGTTGTGGAGAATGTTTAGCAGTAATGCACAGAGAAATAGATTGGAGAGGGAAAATGGTGTCCGATGGTCAGAATTGCATGACCTGGTTTACTTTAATCTCATGGAGTGTACTGTCATCGATCCGATACATAACCTGTATCTCAGAACAGCAAAGATGCTAATAAAGAAATGGAGATCTTCAGGTCTCATCACAGATGCACACTTGGCCGAAATGCAGTTGGATGCTAACAAGCTTGTACTACCAGAGGACTATATGCCATTAGGAACAAAGATTGGGTGGGACTTCCCATTCATGAAGGCCAACGAGTGAAAGTCTTGGTGCTTAATGTACTTTCTTGTTCTCCTGCGTGGTCATCTACCTGAAGCTCATCTCGGTAACTGGGCAACGTTTGGCAATGCATGCCAGTACCTTTCAATGCCAAGCATATCCATGGCTTACCTTGATGAAGCTCATCAATCTTTGGAGGCTTTCTGCAGAGAGTGTGAGAAGTTGTATAAAGTCCCATTCCTTTTGCCAAACATATATCCCCATCTTCATCTGCAAGAGACTGTACTGAACTTTGACCCAGTTTATGGCTATTGGCTTTTTAGTTTTGAAAGATGCAATGGTATCTTGAAAAACTATGCAACGAATAGAAAAGATGGGTTCGAGGAAACCTATATGAAGAAGTATCTTAAGGAAGCATTTCAGGGAGATCTTATTTGCCAAACTTTGCCAATTATTTGATCTGACCATTTGGCAATCATCCTTGAGCTCACTGCATCCACTACCAATTCCATAGCCACTTCTACTTCCACTGTCACCTCAATTCAATTCGATATCAATGCTTTTCTTGATTCTTCTGAGATCAACTTTGATATTGTCAAGGGAAACGAGCCTTTGCCATCTTCCACACTTCCTTTAGCTCTAAAGAGGGAGATTTCTATGGATCAATCCAATTATGAGTATTTGTTGGAATACTATTGCAAGACATATAATAATCAAACTCTTGTTTATTATTGTCAGGCTGATCATTCCAATAATTTTGTTAACAATTGGATACAGATATTTGAATCAATCGATCTTCTCAGACAAATCTATAAGAGCAAAACAAAGAATCAGCGCAGGTCGTTAATGCAAGCCTTGTTTGAGACAAGTGATGGTAGAAGTATCAAGCCATACGCAGGCCAAATTCAGTATCTCTTTGTCAATACTGCTGTAAAATCGTTTGCTAGTCATGCGAGCCAGCATGTATTTGCATATGTACTGTTGTAAATAAGTATTGACTACTGCTGTAATTGAGAATAAGTCTGAAGGAAATTATATAAGACCTTAGCTATTCCAGTCAAAGATGTCTACCAATTACTTTATTATTTAATACACAGGTTTATTATGTATGATAGTGCTTATATTTTATATGATGATATCACTATAATATGAGATACATCAGTGAATTATTATAAGCATAATTATAACTCATAAACACATTTACTTTCGATGTTAATACTTCATTGGGATTACACACATTTATATAATTAATCATACATTAATTATTCCAAGATCACATTGCTTTGATTAAAGTTCAGATAGGATCGATTACCTGACCCCAGTCATATAATTTTCCCAATCTAAAATAATATAAATAGCAGTAGTAGTTCAGTGTAGAAACGTTGTCAAGTTTTGATATCAAATCTTTTCTCAATAAATAAACTCTACACAAGTTCTCACGGATCTTCGTTCCTCACTTTCAAACCTTGAATTCTTCTTAACAACTTCAAAAACTTCAACTACCACAACATATACAATGGTACAAGGAAGCTTTATTTCCGCCCAGAGCAGGAGAAGGAGTTGAGGTGAATGAGGTGGGGTTCGAAGATGACAGCATGACCAGCATTCTCCCAGTGCATATAATCTGCTATCCAGTCACAGTAGGCAAGCACCTTGGTCTAGAAGGCAAAGTTCCGATATGTGTAATTTCTTTGCCACAAAAAATATATGTTTAGATTCATATGCAAAAATAAAACATCTACATATATATATATATATATATATTAATAAAGACTAATTTATATATAGCTGCATGTTTCTTTTTTATTGTTTCTATAACATCTTGTTTGTACTTGGCATGCTATACATACATATGTATATATCATGCTAATCTGTAAACATAAACAAGTAGAAAAAAAGGCTCTAAAATAGTGGATAAGAAAAAAATGATTTATTTTGAAAAGCACCAATCTGGTAAAGTGACTGTCAAATTCTTGTGAATGCTCACTTCTTTCTCATAAGGGATGCACTTTTTCAAGCTTTCTGAATTTTTCTTCAAACAGATGACAGTAAGTTTATCAATACTAGTAATAAATGTGTGGAGCTAATTTAAAGAATAAATAGTATTAATAAAGTATTATTATTTTCTTTAAAACATAGATGGGTGTTTAATATTATCTCATCAGCTCTCTAGCTGGAACGATATGTCTGCACTCCGTTATCTCCATCCAACTTGCCATCAGACATCACGTCAATAGAAAGAATATTTCTGCAATCATATCGATTCATGTCATCATGAATAGTCTCTGTATATGTCTGTTACGTGATAATATGACGGTCAAGAAGCTACCAACAAATATTGTATTAAATCATTAAATCAATAGTAAATTAACTTTATTTTAAAACTTACAGTCTTCTTTCTGTTGCATTTTCTTCCACCTTTATTTCTAGCCATAATCTTCTCTGCTGAGGTTTGGAAGACTCGCACTTGATTTTGGTAGTGATTCTTTATTATATTCTTAGTGACACTCTTTGAAACATTTGTGTAACATCTTTGAGATCTCAGATACTTGAAGAGAGCCAGCGCAAGTGCCTTGTTGTACTTATTGCCATACGTGCCAGTCATTGACCATGCTAATCTATTATTATTCTCTGCGACCTTAAGTAGGTCTGTGCTTACAAAGTTTGGTTTCTTGATATAACTATTGATAAGTTGCTATAAAAGTAATATGAGATATATTAACCAGTAATGTTATTATTAGCAATTTACTTACAGAAATCAAGGGATGATATTTCACTTCAAGATCAAGATCATCATCTATGGAAGAAGAAGAATTCACTGATACAACAGAAGGCATCATGGAATTTTAGCTGGTTATTGTCTTTTTTATTTCAGCATTTGCAGTCATGAGCTAAAGGATGGAGTTCTTCAAAAATTCGTTTGTCTTGTTAGACAAATCCAGGCCATCCTTCAAATGATTTATTACATCAGTCACTTTTTTTGCATTTTTCTACAAAAATTACATTGACATATTGTTGGCTGCCAATAAGATAAGAATGTGCTCCATTGGTGTCAAAGCAACTTGAACTTCAGGGGCTGTGACAACTGCTACTTCTGGAGTTAGTGTATTAATTGGAGTAACAACACTTGCAATTATGCTATTAAGAACAGCATTCATACGTAGGTTGGGTCAGCAGGGAACAGTAGAAATATGCTTTATCATTTTCTGTTAATAAAATAAATATTAATAATTTTCAACTAATATTGTATAATTCACTACACTTGTTATATCATATTTAAAATTCACATACTAGTAAAGAGGATACGCAGTGCAGATTAACTCACTAGACGTTCACATAGTTGTGGTCAACCAATTTTTTTTGGCAGTCGACTGATTTTTTTTCCCAATTTTAGACAAAATTTTTATTTCAAAAATAGGCAACAGATTTAAGTGCATCCCCAGCAAAAGACAGAGGCTGCACTAAATCTTGCTCCTTTTAAGAAAATCTTAATTAACGAAATATTTTAAGTTATGACAGACTTGACTTCCTTTATTTTGAGATAATAATTTATTTCTCAAACATTTACTTCTTTCTTTAATCAATACTTCTTGACTTTATCTTGCAACATGCATACTTTCAAATTTGTTGAAGTAACAACCCCTGTTACTGATAACTTACCTCTGCCAAACCAGGATCAGAACACTGCTTCAAATGTGACAGATTCTGAACCAAGAGGTCTTGGCAAACTGGAGGAGGACGAAGCTCTAGAAAGTGACGATGGCAAAGAAAGCAACTTGGGTCACTGGAAAAATTGCTCGGTTTACCCTATATGAAAGAAGGTGGAATACTGATATAAAGAATTAAATTCCCCTGTAATTTAAACAATCTTGAGTCTAGTGTGCATTTATTCTTTATCTTAAATAATGAATACAATAGTTCTGTAGAAAGAATTCTGCTCATAAAGTCATATACACTCTGACAAGATAAAACATTGTCACTTCCCCAGAAATACACCTCTTTTTAGAGCACACCATTTTTTCTCCCTTTTGCAGAATCTTTTCTTAAAACTAAATCACTCATGTCATCAAGAAATAAAAGAACCAGAAGCCCTTCAAAAAGATGTGAATTGTCAGAGTTTGAGCATGGTGGCATTATTTGGCTATATAAAACCAAAAATACTCCAACTGAGATCGCAAACCACATAGGTATCCCTAGAGCAACAATCAACATCACTATCAAACGTTGGGAAGAAACTGGTACTACAAAACCAAAGACCAGACCTGGGAGACCTAAGAAACTTAGTGTCACGGATGTTACAAGCCTTTGCTTAAGCGTGAGATGTAACCCTTTTGAGAGTTATGCATATCATCAAAGGAATATGGCAGCTGCAGGTGTCATCATCTGTAGAGACACAGTTATCCAATATCTTAAGGCCAAAGGCTTTGGTTCTTACACCCCTGTTTCTAAGTCAAACTTAATCTGTGAACAGAAGAAGAATCGGTTGTGTTGGGTCAAAGCTAGAGCCAGCTTTGGGATTGAGGACTGGAGTAGGGTGGTATAGTCAGATGAGTTGAGGTTTATGCTGAAGGGCAATGATTCTGACCCAGCCGTAATTCGTAAGCGAGGGGAGAGACATCAGGAATGGCATACACTAACAACAGAGAAGTATGGAAAGGGTTCTGTGATGGTGTGGGATTGTTTCTGAGCTGGTGGTCTCAGACCATTATTGTTTCTCGAAGGGTCAGTAGATCAAGATGCATATGTCAATTGTTTGTCTAAGAACTTCAATCCCTGGTATAAGAAATTGAATGATGAACAGGACACCATGTCTATATTCCAAGAAGATGGTGCTAGTTGCCATACTGGGTCTTATATGACGTAGTGGAAAAACCGTTGGGAAATTAAATGTTTTGACTACTGGCCATCACAAAGTCCAGATTTGAACCCCATTGAGCGCGTCTGGCATGCTCTAAAAGCCAATGTTGAAGAGCTCAAGGCTTGTATTCTTCAGAAATGGGAGAGACTTGATCCAGGACTTCTTTGTACTCTTGTAGCAAGTATGCTGGATAGAGTTCAAGCAGTTATAAAAGCTTGTGGTGATCATATCACATATAAGATCCTATCTTATTTTTTTATTTCTATAATATATATAGTTATATCTATAATAAAACGAAGTTTCACTTTATTTAGTCGAGTTTTTTTAGAAGATATAATGTAAAGAAGTTGATATGTAGTTTATTTGAGACTAGAAATCAAGGAATCTGACTGTTATTTATTCGGCACAAGTGTAGATCTACCTTATAATATCAGGAACCGATCTGGACAGAGACAAGGACAGAGAAAACAGAGAGAGAAATATAGATAGATTCCTTTATTAAAGAAGTTGTTCACTTGATCTTTCTATGATCAAGCTCTACGAGTATTTATACAAATATTTATGTCTGCTAATTGTGAGGGATAATTAGATGATTGGTGCTATGAGTGTTCTCTCTAATAAAATGGATGCATTGATTTGATTGGTCTAATAACAATATGGTCGGAAGGGATTCTGATTGGTCCAATGACTGAGACTAATTGGATGTTTCTTACATATAATACCAGCTTAGAAACTTAAAGCAAAAAAAAATAAAAGTTTTTTATATATAACATTACATTTTCTTCTTCTTTAGGAACACAAAAGACAGATAGAAACATTTCTTCATGATAGGGGAAACATGTCTTTACTCCAAATTTAAGTAATTCTATTGGATCTTATATTTTGGACAAAGTACAATACATTCATTTGATTGACTGAAAAATAATCTTCTCACACTTCTTTATAAATAGTTTTAGGAGAATAGTTTACGAATAGGGCTTTTATTTTTGTAAAAAAACAATCTTGGATTATATTGCTTAATAATATATTTTATAGCTAACTCTCAATTATTGCGAGATTAGTTAGACTATCCTTGATAAAGGCGTAAAATATATACTAGAAGTTATTGTCTAATAATATGAAGAATAAAAATGTATTTTAGATATACTGCTGAACAGACTGCCAGAAATATGATTTGTATCATTGACTAAACAGAAAAAAATGAATTAAAATATCAAAGAAGATGTATTATATTATTTCAAGAAAATATGCATACTTACAAATAAGTGCAGTAACATTGTGCTTGTCGTATTTGTTTTATAAAAGACAGTTGTAAAGAATGTCTCAAATAACAAAAATAAACATTAGAATTAAAAATGAACTTACCAAGATAAACAGCATTGATAGTATTTTGAAAACAAAATAAAGAACCAGGCTAATATTTTAATATATTTAAATAAATAATATCAACAAAAAATGAAGTTAGTATAAAAACAAATATTATACTCTTTTTCATGCTTACCAGGCACATTACTGTAGTAGTCATTTGCAATTACATGCAAGACATATACCTTTTAAAAAATAAAAAGCAAATTAACAAAGAGTCAAAACCTTTTCGATTTTTTTTTACCTTTTGTTTAAGACAGAAATATACCAAGCCGCGTAAATAAAATTATCAAAATGTAAAGAAGTATGCTTAACAATATTAGATTATTAGCAGGGCTAGAAATGCATATAAATAAATAAACAGAGAGTAAGTATAATGAACATATTCAATTACATATTAACTGCTTACTCAAGTCCTCCAATAAAAACAAAAATAGTAAAGGAAAGAAAAAGGAAGAAAAAAGGAGGAAGAAAAATAAAGAAACAAAAGAAACAAAAGAAAAAAAACTGAAAAAAAAACTGAAAAAAAAGAAAAAAAGAGAAAAAAGAAGAAAAAACCGAAAAAGGAAATAGAGGATTAAAACGGAAGACCCAAATATTGTTTAACCTAATAGAAATACACCAAGAGCCAAATCAAAATATCTAAAGCTAATAGTAACACATATTATTTTCCTAGTTGCAAGAAGTCTGTCGATGATAAAAGAAAAGACATTTCTCACTTGATATTTTATAGCAATCCCTTTCTTACTTGTGCAACGCTTTTATCTTACTTTATATGTATAAGTATATTTAACCCATCAGAAAATAACAATAGTAATAATTTAGAAAATATATTTATTACATTTTTTAAAATTTTATATAGAAAATGACCTCACACACACCAAGAAACCCTAGACGTAGATATACCTCCAGTGGAGAGAGTATTTCTCTTTCTCAGGTTACAGCTGGCCGTGTTGGACGACATGCAATTGCCCCTCAGCCAGTACCTGCTTCCAGCAGTGATGAGCGCCTGAATCAGATGTCCTTGGACTTAAAGGGCATTATCACGCAGCTTGCATCGATGGACTGCAAGGTAGGCAAGCTGATGGATGGCCAGAGAAGAAACATTGGTGCTGCTGCTCGGCAGGAGAGTATGCCAGCAAGCTTGCCAGCCCTTGCCCCTTCGTCTTCTCTCCCTGTACCAGCCATGTCTGAGCAGGAAATGAGCTCTGTGATCTTGGTAAATATATTTGATCCAATATAGTGAATAATGATCTAACAAATAGTATTTAGGCATTGATTAATGGAAAGGTCTAGAAAAGGAACCTGAAGTCCAGAGACTCTTCTGTCATTGCTGAGAATGAGGCAAGAAGAAGATGGAACGTCAATTAGCACATAGACCATCCCAAAAATGCTGCGCTCGTTGATTATCTTTGGCAGTACGTTCTTGTGTAACCATGTGTAGGAAATTTCTGGTCCAGCATGGTGGTATCAAAAATCCGAAATAACTACAAGCAACACCATTGCTCTGCTCACTCCACAATGCAACAAGATGCAACAAGACGGTGCAATGCACGCGTTAACAGTTGTATTAGAGAAGTTATTATAAAAAAAAGTGTTTTATTAAAAATATATTTTATTTATCTTACATTTTTTTAGATTCTTGCCTGTCATACGCATACGTACCTGACAAACTGGAGGTTGATTGACAATGAGATGGGCCTTGAAGTTGGACTTCTTTCTGAGATGTCAGATAGTGAGTCTGACGTGGAAGACATGAACGTTGCAACTGTACATGTGCTTCGGATTAAGTGTCCCAGCTGGAGAAGCAATGAGATAAACTATTTTTGGTTATGCACCGATGATAAAATAAAGATCTAATGAAATAAATATAGCTGAACCATTTCTTAGAGATTGTTGACTTTGTAGCAGTACAAACTTGTTCAGATAAGTCGATGTTGAAATCGAGGGCAAGAATGCTTAGACTTCAATCAGGGGAAAAGAATGTTGTTGTCTCTCATCACCTGATTTCGTCGCTCCCCCCATGGGCAATTAAACAATAATTTTTATTTGCTTCATAAACACATGCGGTTTTTGCGCTTGATTGATATATAACCAGACTAAAAGCAAAAATGATATTAAATAGAAATAAAAAAAAATAGAGAAATATATTAATTAACAAAGTAAAATAGAATAAGATAAAGAATAAATATAGAAAATAAATAATAAATAAAAATAAAAGGAATTAAGCATATATTTTTTGCAGCAAAGGAATTGCCATCTTCTTGTTGACATTTCTTGTTGTCTTGTAGTCAACAATTGTGACTGGCAGAAGGGTACGATGGACTGGGAGAATAGATTGAAAGTCCAAAGAGTAGAAGTCATTTTGGTATATTTTAATGCCTTTGGGTTGCCTATGGATGTCAGATATTGTTTTGTATCATTTGACAAAAGCAAAGATATGCTGATGATTGTGGTTGTAGAGTGTTGTGAGAGAGTTTGTGGGTGTGAATGAATGAACGAAAATGTACTGAATCTCACCAACATAACCATAGCAAGCATTTATGCTATTTTCTTCAAACAAAGTCTGGATGTAGGAACCACGTCCATTGCCATTACATCCCTTGTAGACTTGCCCTAAAATTTCAATGGACTTTATGACTTCAATCTGATTGTTTACAAATGCTGAACTCGTCATGTCATTCTTGCAACTAGAGACCGTCCTGTCATTGTACACAACCTAGTAGTACTCAACGAGGCAATTGTACTCTGTTGTTGACATTGGTAACATTGGTTTCTTTGTTAATGGGAATGTAGTTGGTGGGAGTAGTTCATTGCCTTTTATCGATATTGATACGTCCAGCATGGCAATGATAAAGTTGGCGAGTGAGAATGGGAATTGAAAATATGAGATAATTGATGAAGATGATTTTTTTGGTGTTTTGTAAATTTTTGAAGGATATCCAGGTATGCATGTATATCAGTGGATTCCATTATACGGCTGATGATATCTTGCTTATGAACGTCTTCTACAAACTGTCTTACATATGTCAACTCGAATCCAGTTTTCCTGTTGGTTTTTATATTTTTTAGGATACTGTTGTATCGTTCAAAATTGAATAACCAATAACCATAAACAGGTCCAAAGTCGCGAATTGTATCTTGGAGGTATACACTGACCTTGAATAAATTTACGTATATTACCAAAAAAGAAATTTTAAGAAAAAGCACCCATTGTTGTTTTTATTTATTTTTTCATTCTTTTTCTCAATCAAATCTTCTCATGTCTCCTAAAATCATTAAACAATCTCATAAAAAGAGTCCTGAACTTTCAGATTACATGAAAGGCAAGATTGTGGGTGCTTATGACTTTGGAATTTCCATGGCTAAGATTGTGCACAAGTATGAGCTACCCTACATGACAGTGACAACAACTATTGAGAGAGTGAAGAAAACGGGTACTGCCCTTACCAAAAAACGTGAAGGGAGACCTGTTCTCTTGAATGATTGTGATTTGAGAGCTCTGGGAAATATTGCATGCAATAACCCAACTGCAACATTAGACATGATTACAGCTGAAATTCAGGAATCTTCAGGTGTACTCATCAAGAGGGATACTGTTCGTAACTCCTTAAAAAAGATTGGTTTACGCTCTTGTGTTGCTGCAAAGAAGCCTTTGCTAAAGGAAAGGCACATAAAAAACAGGTTAAAGTTTGCAAGAGATGCTTGTTGTCACAATCAACAGTGGAATCGGGTAATCTGGAGTGATGAGTCCAGATTCATGGTCTATCCAAGGGCAGGAAATGTGCGTGTTCGGCGCACTCCAGTACAGAAATATAGAAGAGGCTATGTACGTCCAAGAGTACAAGGCGGAGGAGGCTCAGTGATGGTCTGGGGGTGCATTTGGGCTGGTGGAGTGGGAAAACTTGTAATTGTTGATGGCACGCTAAATCAGACGAAGTACATAAGACTCTTACAACTTCATTTTATGCCCTGGTTTCGATGCCTTAAGCAAAGGAAAGATGGCAAGTTCATTTTCCAAGAAGATAATGCACCCTGCCATAAAGGTATTTTGGCAAAAGAATACAAAGAAGAGGTGAATCTGCCAGTGATGACATGGCCAGCAAACAGCCCTGATCTGAGTCCAATAGAAAACATGTGGGCATACTTGGAACGCCAGCTGAGAGCTAGAAGGGTAAAGCCAACGAATTCACACTTGTTGTCTAGAGCTCTTCAAGAAGAATGGAAAAAAATACCGAAGAAAGTAGTGAAAGCACATTGCATGTCAATGCCAAATCGAATCAAAGAACTTAGAAAAAATAATGGATTCCATACCCACTATTAAACTTTCTAATAAATTACATATACCAATTTACATAGCTAATATATATTACTCATAATTATTTCAGAGCTCTAGCTATACGTTAAGATGATAAAAAGATGTAAAGAAGTTGTATATTTTCATTGAAAAAAATCGGGATTTTAAAAAATACTTAAATTGAATATGGGTCAGTGTAGGTGTAGGTGCATGTTTGGCGAGAGAAGATTTAGACTGTATAATGTCTCACACATTTTGCAGTAATCCTCTAGATACTTATGGGCTATTGCGATATCACTTTCACATATATTTGACATGACCAGGATTCGACATGCCTTGATGAAAAGCATCCAATTCCTAAACTTGTTCAGTGGCAAAACATCTTTAAGCACAACCGGAGAGTATACAAGACACCAAGACTTCCACTCATCAGCTTTTATATAGGGAAACCCCTTTGCGATCTTTGTCCCAAGTGACGTGTAATCAGGCAGCAACACTATCTTCCCAACTGTCTTTTGCATGGCAACAAGTTTTTTATTGTCAATTATTCCATCTGCAACCCATCTCTCCATCATTCTCTTGGCAGTGCCTAAGAAAAGATTGTGCATTGCATCGACAATCGTGCAGCAGACAACATCAAAGTACTGGAGATGATGCAGTTTGGACCAGCAAACACTATTTGCAACTTTGAGACAATATCTCTCAGCATGCGTGGTTGCATTTCTCCAGACCTCTGCATCCTTACAATTGTCATTATTAGTGCGAAGGAGCCACTTTGAGAAATCAATTCCAGAATAATCAACAGAACTCGTTCTAGCCAACCTCAAAAATTGATACTTACACTTGTGGCATGCATTTGTACTAGTATGAGATGTGAATCCACATACTTTCCTTGCAGCAGGTACATCACAGGCAATCATGAGAAGGGCTGCTCAGATAGTAGTACTATTTGAACATTGATGAGTTTTGATCTTAATACCTGTATACAGCTATGCCAACTCATCAACCAAAGGCTTTAAATAGTTGTTGATGTCAGATGTGCTTGCTTTCTTGGGCTCTGGCATCAATTCAACAAGGATGACGTTTTATTTTTTAAACCAAATGTCGCGCAGAAGGTTGTTGACAGCAAGATATATTGCTCCACATGAGTATGTCACCCTGTCAAACGGCTGAAACCAGTTGATATTCAGTGTGAGCATGATAGAGTGCTCACCATATACAAAAGGGATCCACGAACATCTAACATACTTTTCCACATTTTGCCATCATATACATCAAATATCATCCCATCCACCTTGGGGCCACGGTTCCAAGAATCGATGTCGTTTTCAAAATCAGGGCGATGGAAAAATATTTTCAAAGATGATATGACTGAATGGTAAATATATGCTTTTTTCGGAATTCTTGACTCGGATCCAGCTTTGAACAACGTTGTGAAACACAGAGAGCTACCACCAAACTTAGGCAATGTACAACATAATGGAAAGAATTCATCATTATCATAAATCATATCGCATTTACTACATGCAGTATACTTCTTGATTTCTTTTGTTAAACCACCAAATCCAGCCAGTTGCTTTAGTCCAGAAACACTCAATGGAAGACAGAATGAATCATTAAACAATTCTAACACCTTGTTGACAATCAAAATCAATATTACCATGCCTTCATCAACGATATACAATGAGACAAATAAGATAATTGCAACCACAATAAAACGGTGGACAAAACCTAATTTGGAAACACACTCAAAAGAAAAATCTATAATAAAAAAAAAGGGGAATTAATTGGTATTCTTTTTTAACTTCTAAGATACTCATATTCTTTATAACACTGTATGCACCTTCATCGTCACTCATTTCACCGTCAGTTTCGTATTCTTCATTGTCAAAATCGTTTCTTCCAGTGTATTCATCACCTTCAATACCAAACACAGCATTAGACTCAGAAAGAGGTAGGTTCCTGGTCAGAGTGGATGTTTTTACTTCTTCATTGTCATTCGATTCTGCCAAAATATTAATATTAGACCAAAATAGCAAGAAAACAAAAAAAGTAGTTTTCTTTACCAAAGATATAATCCATAGTATCTTCATTGCTCTCAACCTCAAATGTCTCTTCGATTATTTCATTCTCTATAGTTAAATAAATTTATTTTATTAATTTTTGCTATACTGAAATAAATAAAAATATAATTATATTGCATATGGATATTGTTCTGCATAAGCTCTACAATTTTCTCGGCTTTTTCATAGCGCTTTAATGTCTGGATAGATACAGTGTTATATCCTCCATATCGAACTTTGCATACTGAGCAGTAGCATTTGTATTTGTTGTCTGCGTTGCAGTTGGGTGCCATTTTTAAATATATATATGTGTGTGTTTAACAATAAAGAAGACAAATATAAAGTAGTTTTTTCTATGATTTATTTAGGTTTTGTGTATTTTCAAATGATACACAAGTTTCTCTAGCCAATTATATTACATAAACTTCTTTTTGAATACTTTATTCACAAAAACTGACTGAGATGGAATTTTACCCTATTTTTTCACACATAATTAGTTTAATTTCCCTGTGTGAAAGAGGATCATTTTTGCAGTGGGTTCAGAGTCAACCTCTACCACAGTAGCAAATGATGGTTGCAACAATCTGTGGAAAACAGACCAACATGTTGCACTGTTCCTGAAGGTGATCTTAGATAATGATACTCACGCCAAAATTCTAAGAGCAAAAAACAATAGCTCTTTGAAAGGGATAATCTGGAAAGATCTGGTCAACAAGTTTAAGCAGAATGACCAGTTTAAGGATTTTAATAACAATCACTTTAAGAATACAATTGACAGTGATAAATGTGACAAAAAGTTCAATGACTTGACAAAGACTTACAAGCTACGCACTGATTGTGGTAGACACGAAACTGGTCGTGCAAGAAGCTGTGATGCCTCTGCATAGGCTTTCTTTGATCAGATGAAAGAGATCTTAATCAATGATCCCAGTGTTCACTCTCGGAACTTTGGTCAATCAGGAACATCAAGACCAACAAGCATGACCACAACCTCAAGTAATGGGCATATTGTTTTGGAAAACACCTTTGGAGATGGTAGAAGAGAAATTGAATTTCTTTCTGAAGCTGTAGTTTCCAACAACATCAACACCAACACTAATGACAATCATGCCAGTGATCGTAATTCTGTTATCAGCGACAATGAGGATGAGAAGACTTTAACAGCCACTCAGCTGTTAACTGAAAGAAGTGGTTATCCCACTAGTGTAAATGAAATTCTGAGTACTATCACCTATTTGCATAAGGAAATGCAAGATGAAGTGGCCACAGAGCGTGATGTCTTCATCAGTCAGTTGCTCAGGACATCTGAGCAAAGAGCAACCAAATGAGCAAGAGATGAGGAAGACAGGGAGCTTACGCCTGAGTACATCAAGGCTCATATAAATGAATTGCAGCATAGACAGTTACAAGACAATGCTATTCTTGCTGAGCAGAGATGATTGAATGGCCTCTTAGCACAGTTTCTCCAGTCTATATCTAATAACAATCAATAAAAATATATAAATCAATAACTTTTATTTCTTAAAGGGAATTCATTACTGTCAGTCTTCGTTGCTCACCACCAGTTTTCAGTTGAGCAAGAAGTGCATTAAGCACTCTTTCAGACATAATTGGATTAGTATTTTCTATTTCTCCCAGCCCAAAGACAGTATCATCTGCATTGTCTGAATCTTGAAAATTGCCTAAGATATCATCGTCTTCATTCTCTTCAAGTTCCCACATATCATCAGCATCTATACACAAGTTGTGTAAAACACAGCATGCCATAATTGCTCAAGTCAGTCTTCCAACATCCTTCAAGTAAAGGTGCTTGTACAGAAATTTCTATCTTAGCACTAAGAGTGAGAATGTGTTTTCAATATTTTGTCGAGTTCTGGACTGTACTGCATTATATAGTTTCTGTTTCATGGTAAGTAGAACAGTTTCTTGGTTTTTGGATCTACATCCACGGACAGCAATGAACTGTGCCAAAAGTTGGGGTAACAGTGGATATGCCAAATCTAGGAACATAACAAATTTAAAAAATCATTTTATATATATATGATCATCAATCTACCAGCAATTATGTACGTGTTTTCCAGACACGTCTCTGGTTCTTGGTGAATCAGATCCTGATAAAGACAATCCAATTTTAACACATGAGTATCATGAAGACTGCCTAATATATTACAGAGGTTTGATAAATCTCATATGAAAAAATCACATTTAATGTAATTATCAGATGTACCAGTTGCAATGTGAATAAATATTTTTTTATAATCACAAACAGCTGTTAAATTCATGCTGATATTTTCTTTGCGATCTACGTAACTGTCACCAGAGTTGGCAGTAGTTGGTTTTTCAATGGAAATAAGCTTTCTGTCTATGGCACCAATTACTTCTTTTAATCTTTGTTTGCCACTTTTTGTTGGTTGTCCAAACCCTGTTGTGATCTTTAGGGTTCGTTCAATTGTGTTTGGCCAGATAATGACATTGTCAATTAAAATTGAGCTCATGGCAAGAATAAATCAGTCAGTAGAATTGTTGTAGCTTCCATGGCTACACCCAAACTTGTCCTTTGCCATTTTATATCCAAAGTGAGTGTTGGAAAATCTCCAGAGAACAACTGTCATCTGTTCTCACACAGGCCAAGCCAATTCACTTTCATCAAATCCTCTGTATGGCTCAGTTTCCAAAAGAATGTTCACTAGTGTCTTGAAAGTAGACAAGGTAATGTGATAATGCTCCTTGAACATACTTTCTTTGACTACTCTTCCAATATCATCTATGTGAGGAGTGTCACCCAAAACTTGGGTGCGTGATATGCCACCAGATTGTTTCCTTTCTGAGTCAATTAATTCTTCTTCTTGTAGTTATTGTCTGAATATGTTCAAAGCTATCATCGTATATGCAAAAGAAGGTGTCATAGTTTGTCAACTGTAAGATTTTCATCTTTTTGTTTACCAGTTCTCTTTGAAAAACCATACACATGTCGTTTAAGACTTCTTCATCCCTTCGTCTTTTCTTATTGAATTCTTTAAGTACTTGATCATCTACATTATTTTCATCATGTTCTTTTTCGAAGGCATCACAAATATTTTTAAGACTCTGTTTATGGAGCTCCAAAAGAATATGCATTTCATTGTTGGTACTGAGTTGATTATTGTTGTTGTTATTCATGATTATAGATAGAGAGAGTTAAAGGGGTAAGCAAATGGTATTTTAGTAAAGTTCTCATATTATATATAACAGATCGCAAGTGACTGGCTTTTACAATCTCAGCAGTTACTATAAGCAGTGAGCAATAATTAGGGTGGTCGACCACAACTTTGTGAATGCCTTCTATCTTTCATTTGATATTTAAGCACATCTCCCAACTACTTGATCTACATTTAGACAATTTTTTCTCTAACTCAATGAGGCACAAATTAGTGTTTCAATTTAATAGTGGTCATCTTCTTTTGGAGTATTACTTTTCACAACACATATTTTGTCAGGGTCAAACTGAATTTTAAGACAAAGGCTTTTTTTTTTCTTTTTTTTTCTTTTAACGACATTTATTGTTAATATATTTTTTCTTTCTCTTTTGCTTATGTTTTTACAATTTCACTTATAATTTTTTCTTTCTTTTATAGCTTGATACTAAATATGTGTCTCTTTGTTTAGATATACTCTGTCTGATATATCAAAATAAGATATTATTCTTTTAATGATCTCTGTTACTCATCATATTGTTTGTCTAGCAATTGCTACTCATTTCCATTGAGTCTCATCATATCTTACTCGAACATGATTGTAAGTTTTTTTTAATAAAATTCAAATTATCTTTTTGTCTTACTCATAAATATATATTTATTTTTATTACAATTTATTAGTTATGTCTGATATTATGCACAAAGACATATAATCAGTAATATTTGATAAGTTAACTACAATATATTTAATAAATATGTTTTTACTATGCACAATATTAATAATTATTCATTTTTAGAATGTATCTCTATTCAAAGACTACTGGTATTAGAGAAGTTTGTGGACTCAAATTTTCAGAGTTATACAAAAACACTGACTGAAAAAATGCAAACCCCCCAAAAATCATTTTTTCAAAGAAGTTTTTATATTAAGTTTTCACTGTCACAAAATGCTGTCAGAAGCATATTTCAACTAAACATACAAACTGTCCCTTAACATTATTTAAAAAACAGTATACTGTTTTGCCGTAGTATTACTGTTCTCTTTTGTTTAATAAAACTTGGTCATGTCTGCCATAGAACGTCTTATTGAAATTGCAGACTCAATACTTTATCATGTATCTGGATATGTTACGGAAGAAGAAGCTGAGATAGCATAACAGTATTAACAAGAGTTTGATCGTATCTGTATTGCTTTGCATATACAGGGTTGTTTGAATATAAACACTTTATCTAGCAAAGATTGTAAGATCTTATTTAGGTTTACTATGTCTGAAGTACATGTACTGGTTTTTTTTTCAGTAGCTATAAATATTAATGCATGACTTTATTATCAGATCTCATCTTTGTGCTTTCTTCTTCAATTGGGTGACAAAGTGTACTTCCGAGAAGGCTCAAAGACTGAGTTTTCTATTCCAACTATGGAGGGTATGACTACCATGCTCTGGAGAATGTTCTTTTCTGCTTGCTTGGCAGATTTGTCCTTGCTATTTAGGAGACAAGTACCTATTCTCAGTGTCATATTCAATGGGATGATAGAGAAAATTTATATGAAATTTCATACAGCTTTAGAGTTTGATACTCATTCATTCTGTAAAGAAAACCTTGCGCGTTTTAGTAGTGCAATAAAGCGATTATGTGAGAAAAACTTTTGTTACCTGTTAACAATTTTACTAATAATCTTATTTTTTTTATCTGTATAAAAAGTCCCAGTCGATTGCTGTGTTGGCTTCATTGATGGCACATTTAATAAAATAGCTAGACCAACAGCTGGTCAGATTATTGTCTATAATAGACATTATATAAGTAAATAGCAGTCTTAACTTTATTATACTTCTAGTCAGCTCAATAAATATGCTTTATGTGGAGAGAACATGGTCTTAAGTATCAGGCAGTGATAATACCTGACAGTATTACTTCTTCTATTATGGGACCTGAGACAGGCAACCAACATAATATGTGTCTATATCTAGAGAGTCATTTAGAGGATAAAATGCATCAAATATTTGATTTCAGAGATATAAACAATGGCCCTTGTTATTTTTTGTATATCGATCCAGCTTATACTGCATCAGACTTTATGATAGTACCCTTTGACAGACGTAAGTAAATAAATTTAACCTTTTTCATAATTGATATATAATCTTTATAACTTTGTTTCAGTGTCATGAAATTAAGTAGACCTAGGCATTAACAAGAACATGTCTGCTGTGCGAATTGTAGTTGAGCATGAGTTTGCTCATGTTAGAAGTTTATATGTTTTTTTAAAGTATTCTCAAACTCAACGAAGTGGACATTGTTCTGTTAAACTTTACTACATTGTTAGAACCTTGTTAAAGAACACTCATGTTTGTTTCAATAATGGCAACCGAACAAGTATAAAGTTTGGTATTGCTCCTCCAACCTCAGAAAGATATATATATGATCTCTTGAATCAATAAAGTTTTTTTTTATTTCAGATTAATACTAAAAGAATTATCAAGAGAAAAGTCTTATGATTGATTCTTCAATTTGCAATTGACTCGCCACCAAGTCTTTGTCCAGACATGTCATTTTTTTATTGAACTTTCACTCAAATCTTTCAATGGCAAGAAGAATGTTATTGCTTCCAACTCTGTCTATAATGTTAGAAAGGTCACCACGAAATCTCTCCAACACATGCATGACACTGATCATGCAAACAGAAGTCTGTTCCAACTAAAAGGTAGAGGAGTCTTCTCTAGGATTGGTAGTCTGCTGTCTCTGCTGGTAAGCAGACCTGATATATTCGTGTCTGGCTCTCTTTACATGTACCAACAAGTTCTCAACAGTCTGAGCTTTCTCTGTCTTGCAAATACTCTTCTTTTGATGATTATTATTTGCTTTGCAAGCCTCCTCCTCTTTCTTTGAAAAGATATAGAATTAAACACCCGAATATTCAAAGTATACTCTATATGATAAAAATATTAACAAACTAATAAGCTGATAAAGAAGGTTATCAACTTTGGTATGTCCCTTGTTTGTACCTGTCATTTGTCTTTCTTGCTTGTTTCTTGCCCTGTACTGATTGACAAGTGTTCTGTACCAGTCTTTTATAGTCGAAAGATCTACTTTCCCACCATCAAATTCTATGGCATTGACTTTTTGAATGATCTCATCTCAGGCTCCTCCAATGTTGACATGTCCTTCATACTTTGGATGCTTGAATATCATTGCTTCAAGCATCACTTTGTCTCTACAGACAATTATGCTACTCTAGTCTCTGTAGCTGACAGTACTGGCTCTTGGAGTGCTTGTGTTCATTGGTTTTTTAATGAAATAAAATAGTAAACAAAATAAAATGTATACTTGACCAATAATTATATTTCTTTAATTTGATTTAATTACAGTCTTTTTCAGTTATATAATCATAAATTATACTGTCAGTTTAGAATAAAAATTGAGGGAATATTATTAATTGAAAATTTGATTTCACTTTGCCAGATTTTTTGATAAAATAAAATGACTTTTTCAAATTTCAAGTGATACAAAGTGACATAATTACATAAACAGACCAAATTAAGTAGTTTAAGTCATTCTTGTGTCTGCAAATCTGAGTTTACAAACTTCTCTATTATCTTTATAATTCTGAAAAACATATTTATATCAATTTCATATCAAATCTTCTCCATCTTAAAAGTATTTATGAAGAAATTTCAATTTAAATCATTTACTAATTCTTCTTTTTATTAATCATTTTTTAATAGCATTCCTGGTATTAAAGTATATATTTCATGTTTACTTTCAGAAGGCTTGAGATTATATATAGCAAGCAAAAAGTATTAGCAATTATAATAGTTATAGTATTAAAACTGTTGCATAATTAGGATCTTTATCTAGAAAACATTTTCTTATTAAATAAAACAAAATTAAACAAAAAATATATAATCCAATGTTTTTTAAAAAAAAAGTAAAATAAATAAACAAACTAAAGAGACTTGTTTATAAAAATCTACTCATACTTTGTTTCTCTTTTCCATTGTAAAAAAACCTAGTTTCATTTCTTTTATATGTATAAAAAATCTAGTTTCATCACTTTGAGCATGTATAAAAAACTAACTATCATTATTTTGTTATACTATAAAAAAGCTACAATCATTGCTTTGATAGTTTTTAAAGCATTTCTGTAGCCAATAAAAAAACCCAGTGAAAATAATAATATGACATGCTAGCTCTTTATAGACCTCAAAATATAACACATAAAGAGATAGACTTGATATAAGTAAAGCATAACTACAATATTTATTCAGTTTTTATAGTTTTCGAACTGACAATTGTTTTACATTGAGTTTTTATATACTCATTGTTATGATGATACGCATCAGCACCATAGATGATATTGTATCATTGCCGAAAATGATATATCACAAAAGTTGTGATGATATTAGCTCAATTATCTATATTTTTGATACATTTGATCCAGATGAAATTATTCTATTTTTCTATTGTAAGGTAAGAATGTAAATATTTTGCTGTGAAAGAAGAAATAGATGAAGTTATAATATATAACTACAAGAAAAGAAAAATATTACAAAGAAGTATGTTATAAATAAAGGAAAAAACTATTTAGTTAACAATTTTGGTAAAGCTATGTTTGAGAGGAAGTGTCACATTTAGTGTGTAGAAATAAAATAAAAAGATAAGTGAGAAAACAATTTCAGGAAAAATAAAGGGAAAAAGATTTTAATTTTTAGAAATTTGGTTTTTAAAAAAAAAGTCATTTTGTGAATATAAAAGAAAGAAATTAAAATGAAAATTAAAATTTTAAAGAAAAATTAAAAAAGAGTTTTCAAAAGAATGTCTGAACTTGATAGAATATGGTTTTTGGACTAAGACTGATATAATTACTACACCACATATCACAACTGATGCGTGTGGTGCTTGTATTTATAGTAAACGTTGACAGAGAATATGTTATCATAGTTTTCGAGATTTTAATGGGCTTGTAGATATGAAATAACCTCTCTTTTTTACAAGAGAGAAAGAGATAAACTCAAAAGAGAATGTAGAATTAAAGATAATAAAATCAATAAAAGAAAAATAAGAGAAAAACAGTACTATTGATCAGTCTTGATAAACTTGACTCAATATACTTGGATAATCAAACAAATAAAATATCAATAACATTAAATATTAAAAGAACTTATTGTCAGAAAATAAGACAAAGAAAAATCTATGTTTATTAAATGCAAGTATTGCAATATTTATAGTTTTGCAATTGACTTGTTGAATAATTAAATAAATAAAATTATTAAAAAATATAATAAAAAGTTGTATAATCAATAATCTATTAAATATGATTTGTTCTTTACTATCATTAAGTATAAATAGAATAAAATAATTATTAAGTCATAATCATGAAGACAATTATGTTTATAAGAAAATATAAAAAAATAATGTTAATTCCAAGTTGATTTGTTCAGTTAAATATAGTGAGAAAATAAGATATGATGTGTGGTTGCGTGAAGTTATTGTTGACAGAATGATACTTTTTTATTATACTTATTGATGTTTTGCTCTACAAATAGAAAAATTGCTTTTTATTCAGCCTCGGCTGCTATCAGAAAAGCAAAAAAATATAATGTAATTTTTTTAGAATTATAAAGAATTCTGCAATGTCACCACACTGCCAGATAACCAAAATTTTATTTCATGCAGACCATTTTTTTAATACTCCCTATCACAACAGTGACATGTGATGTGTTAGATTTGTTGTGAATTGTAACAGATCACTTGGCAAATAAAATACAATGATAATAGAATAGAACAGAAGACGGATACAGCAAAAGATGACAAGCAGCAACTGTTGACAGGTAAGAAAAGAGAGAACAACCGATAGAATTGTTGTTAAAATCGAGAGGGAGGGAAAGGTATATGAAAATAGAATGACAAAACAGAAAAGTAATAACCGACAAGGAGACCAAAACCAACAAACAACCTTTCTAAAACCAAGGAACCAATATGTTATGTCGCAAGATTGTATAGATCACAAAGAGAAGAAAACAAGAAAAAGATCCTGAAACTGAACAAAGAATTGATTGATTTATTGAGTTGAGTTTGCTTCTCTTTTTATAGTCAACAAGATTTTAAGTTGATAATAGAAGTTTAGAAAAATATAATAAAAATAGAATGATGAATATTCAATATGGCAAGGATAAAATATATGAATAAAAATACAGTAAAAATATAATAATAAAGATACTAATGTTGCGTGGAAATGTTGGCAAGATAAATGATATGCATTGTAGAAGAGGAATGTTACTAGCATGGGAAACCATGATTTCAAATGAGTACAATGAAGACAAATATGTTAACAAAGGAAAAGAAAAAAGTATTGTGTGTAAAAGGAACAGAGAATAGGAACGAGATTTTTTCTGTGCATGAAAAAATTCTTCTCTTACCACTGAGGGCACAGCACCACATCAACAAACTGTTGATGTCAGCCTCTCATAACTGGGACAACACATCATGACAAACTGCCAGACAAACCCACCGAGCAGACTGATCTTCCAGTACTAGGCACCATGACATGGCCAAAAGCCAGACCTGCCCACAACACATGTGACACAACTGACGTGTGATGTGTTTGTTTGTTGTGGATTGTAACAGTATCACTTGGCAAATAAATGTAATATAAATTACAAAATACAAGAAGAAGAATACAATAAGAATGGAAAAGAATGGGTAATTTGACAGGTAAGAATTGGTGACAGACAGGTAGAAAAAATAGGGAGAAGATTAAAATGGAAATTGTGACAACAATAAAGTCTGAGAAAGACAGAAAAGAGAAAACAAAGAAATAAAATACATCAAAATCGACAGACAACACTCTAAAGAACAAGGACGCTGTGTATGAATGAAAAATAATGATAATAATGCACAAAAATAAATAAGATCAAGAATAGAATGATGATTTTATTGATTGAAAAGATTGTTTCTTTTATAAACAAAAATGTTTGATTAAAATAATTTTTTGAGAAAAAGAAAAGAAAGTCAAGTGAAAATTTTTACTATATGTAACTGGTGTTGATAGTAGAAGTAGAATAGAAAATTATAGAGAGAGTAAAATAGAAATATAGTAAAAATATAATAATTGAATAAAGATAAAGTAAAAATATAGTGAGGTAGAATAGAAGTAAAGTAATAATATAATAACGATGTAGTAAAGTAAAGTAAAAAAAATATAATAATAGTATAATAATAGAATCTAATAAAATATAATAAAAAATAGTATAAAATAAATGTTGGCAATAAAGAAGTGTATAAAATTAGGGGAAAGTGGTATAATGTTTTTAGTGAGTGATAGGTGTTTCTGAGATGATGATATAAATGGGTATTTTAATTTTAAGGAATGAGATTATATTGGGGGGTTTGGGTATAGGGGTATTGGGAGCAAGATTTCCCAAGGAACCTGGGGGGACCACTCTTGTCCCTCGAGACACGTCATTCGGTCAACTCACCATCGACGTTGATGCCCACGAGTCTGGTACTGCCCGTCACAGCTCACCACCAGACCAAACCACTGAAGGAATCCACCGTCCGGTATTCCTCACCAGAAATTGGCCAAAGCCACACATTTTTACAAAACACGTGACAGAACAGTTACGCCGCAATAGCTCAGCTGGGAGAGCGTTAGACTGAAGATCTAAAGGTCGTGTGTTCAATCCACACTTGTGGCAAATGTTCATCTTTTTTATGTCAGGTCTTGACTATGTCGTTCCCAATCTGGATTAGTCTTCCTTTTACTGTGTCGGACATTATTTTGATGAATCCGAGAAATCGGGATAATTGACCGCAGCAGTTCTGTATGTCAAAGATACCTCATAGATAACGAACCGCAGTAATGTCTTGTAAAGATTAACCACAGTAACATCTTCTGAGCATCAACCGCAGTAAAAGGACTTCTCTTGTAATTAAATAGAGTATAATAGTTTACTGCGGATAATGCGCAGTATTAGTTTAGAAAACTATATAAGACAATTCAATTCCTATCAATAAAAAGCACCTTTTATCCTCTCTTCGATTTTACATATACTCTCCGATCCCCAGTGGGTTTGACCTTTTGACTTTGCTATAGTAAAAGGAAGACCATCCCAGATCAGGAATGACAACTGTCGGACATTATTTTGATGAATCCGTAAAATCTGAAGATAGTTAACCGCAGTACTTCTTTATGCGCAGTAATATCTTCCTGAGCATTAACCGCAGTATAATGACTATTTCTTTAATTAAATATAAATAATAACTACTGCGGATAATGCGCAGTATTAGTTTAGAAAACTATATAAGACAATTCAATTCATATCAATAAAAAGCATCTTTGATCCTCTCTTTGATTTTACGTATACTCCTTGATCCCCAGTGGGTTTGACCTTTTGACTTTGTTATAGTAAAAGGAAGACCAACCCAGATCAGGAACGACATTACTGTCAAGTCTCGATCTGGTATTTCTTTTCTGGCACTTGTAACTAAGTCGCAGAATCAATACCACTGGAGATTGTCAAGTTTTAAGAATAGTTTTTTTGACAAGAATAAGGATGCTTTTTATTAATTATATTTCTTGACTATTTATACAAAATGATGCTTGATTTCTGGCTAAAAGAATAGCTACAATAATATATTTTAGATGTTTGTTGTCCAGTAATATCTTCTACAAGTATATGCACCATCTTAAATATCTAAAACATATACAAGAGACCAATTGGCAATGTCAAGATCTTTTATCTAAAAAAGTCAACCATCACTGGTTGCTTGCAATTCCTGATTTTAAACACTGATGTCAACTCTGACATTACTAGAGACTTTGGTAAAACCTTGTAAAACATTCGAAGGAGTTTAAATCATTTGTATAAGGAAATCTGGGTGTGAAAAATGCAAATGTTTGATAAATTTTCTCAAAAGTTTCTCAAACTTGAAAGAAATTTTTCAAACATTGTAAAACATAATAGACCAATCATGTTGTAGTAATTCTTTGTTGCTAAATGCATAAATACATTAAGCTTAAAAATATTAATAGTTGTAATTTTAACGTATACATGTAAGGATATAAGCATCCCTTCAGTATACTTTTCTCTACTTATTTTTTTTCATTATTTTTCTAATAAAGTTAATATTAATATTTTTGTTCTAATATAATACCAAGAAAAAAATGCCTATTATTTAATAAAAATTAACAAATCTCTCATTAGCTTGATTATATAAAGCAGCATTTGTGAGCTTAGTACTACTCCTTTTCCGACAGGCAATGATTACCAAATGTATACTATGTTTGAGACATGATATTCTGACAAAAAATGTTTGATAGAAATCCATATTTGGTAACTTGGCACCTAAATGTCTCTTATCGTCTCATCAAGATCTCTACTATAACAAAGTCAAAAGGCCAAACTGTCAGAGTTGATATTGGTGACAAAAATCAGAAGTTACAAGCAGTCAGTAATGGTTGACTTTTTAGGCTAACAGATCTTGACTTTGCCAATTGGTCTTTTGTCTATGTTTTAGATGCTGGAGATGAGGAATATACTTGTAGAGATCACTACAAAAATTATATGATTTCTCCTTGAGAAACTTTGGTTGAATCAAAGAGAAATTTTGATAATATTTCAACTCCACAGGGTTTTTTACTTTTGGCAAAAACAATTTAATTGGGCCAATTCAATTGGATATAGTATATGCTATGCCTTCCAACATTTATTTTGACCAGTGCTTTGCCCTGTTGCCAACCAATAAAAAAATTCTTTTACTTTGATACTAAGACTAGACTAACTATATTTTAAAGACTATAAAAAGAAGTTTAATTATATGCTTTTATTACTTTGACTTTTGTAATTTTTGTAAATGCTATTGTGGTTATAGAATTGTAAAAATAGAAAGACATAGATAAATAGGTTTTTATTTCACAGATATTTGGTACATATATAAAATTTTTAAAAGAAAATGTAAAACTGAAACATTTTGTTCAAATATATTGGTTTTACTTTTATAGAAAGCAATATAATATGACATGGTTGACAAAAATGCAAATCAATCAGTATAACATTGAGAAGATATGTTAAAAGGGATTACTGATTGGATACCTGATTTAAGAATTTCTAGCTACAATGTAGACTCTGATATTAAAATAGGAAAGTCTATAAAAATAAACCATGTTACTGAATAATTTCCCTTTTTTGCAAATTTCATAAATGCAACCCAATTTCTAAAATGTCTAATAACCAAGTTGAATGCAGTTGCTCAGTATGCTCTCCAAATGGCAGATACTCTGTTATGGTCTCTTCCCAGACACGCTGTACAAATTTTGCAGATGATGTACAAAGAAATTTCCAAAGACAATCTTGTATGTATAAAGCTACCTTAACATTTTATTTTACAAAATAATTTAACACATTTATATAATACAGTATTACCTACAGAAGCAGTAGACATGATGAATGACAATGCTAATGATATAGAGATTGATGCCAAGACAAATATTTCTGAAGATCTTGAATATAATTATATTTTTTTGGCAAGTTTTATAGACTCTTATAATTCTAATTATTTAACTCTTTCTACTATAGCTGTTCATGACTTACCTGGCTCTAACAATGAGGATTTGTCTAACTCTTACGAATTCAATAACAAATCTGAAAACATTGAAGATTAGTATAAAAAGCAGATAAAAGAAATACCTTGAAATATACTTTGGATATTAATACAACTATGTAATAGAACAATTGTTTAGCCATGAAATGCCAGCAGATTCAACTCATGCTTTCATCGCATCCTTTGCTGCATATTTTATATCCAAATACGTAGTCAATTCTGCTGGTGCTATCTTTATCAAGTTTATCAATGAGGTACTGGCAAACTTTAGACAATCATTCCATCTGCCATTGAGCATGAAGTGTCTGAATTTATTGACGGGCCTAAGCACATTGACTGCAGGCATCTATCACTTTGTAGCATGTGGCAAATGTCATAAGATTTTTTCCGAGTCGGCATCCAAGTCTATTCCCCAGTGTTGCAACTTCAGAAAGTTGTCCAGAAACACATGTAGAAACAGTTTGTTTTTAGAAGCCCCCAATAGCTTGGATAGATCAAGAAAGATCTACATGTACAACTCAATAACAACAGCATTATCCATCTTCTTTTTGCGTTCTGGATTTGAGAGATCAATCAACCTCTGGAGATTCCGACAGCAAGTACCAGAAACTCTGTTTGCTGTGTACGATGGGACAAAATGAAACTTATTGAAAGATAATACTGGTCAACAATTCATAGCACATGAACATTCTATCATGCTGACACTTAACATCGATTGGTTCCAGCCATTTGATGGGGTTACTTACTCTTGTAGCGCAATCTACTTGTCCATAAACAATCTGCTCAGAAAGGAAAGATACAAGAAGGAGAACGTCGTCCTTGTGAGACTTATGCCAGGTCCAAGTGAAGTCAAAACAAGCCAGATAAACCATTATCTTTGCCCTCTTGTAGCCAAGCTAAACCAATTGTATTCTGGTGCTGCTATTCCAACAAACAAGTGTCCTTCTGGTACCTTGGTTCATGCCGCAATTCTTCTTGTTGCTTGTGACATCCCAGCTGCAAGGAAAACATGTAGATTTACATTGCATGCCAGTACTAACGCATGTCATATATGCAACTGCTGGTTTTCTTGTTGTCTGGATGGCAAGGGTATGGATTGTTCTGGTTTCATATTCTCTGATTGGATTTTTAACACTGATGAAGAGAACAAGAGAAACGCAGAGAGATGGAGATAATCTGGTAGCGATGTTAAAAGAGTAAGATTAGAGAAAGAGAATGATGTCTGCTGGTCAGAGCTCCACCAGCTTTAATACTTCAATGCAATTGAGTATATCATCATAGATCTGATGCATAACCTCTTCCTTGCCATGACGAAAAGGATGATGGAGAAATGGAGAGAAGAGGGTCTGATTACTAGTGAGCACCTGGCCGAAATGCAGCAAGACGCAGACAGTATTATCATTCCTCTTGGCATCACTCTATTGCATAACAAAATTGGAAGGGGCTTTCCATTTATGAAGGCAGACAAATGGAAGTTCTGGTGTTTGGTTTACTCTCCCGTTCTCCTGGCCGGTCGTTTACCATCAGAAGATCTCTGTGACTGGATGGAGTTCGTTCACGCATGCAAGTACTTGGCAAGACCAAGTATAACTGTCGAAGACTTGTCACATGCACATGATTTTTTGAAGTCGTTTGGTCAAAAGTGTTAGGTTAGGTTTGGGAAGGATGTGGTATTTCAGGTACAAAACAATAGAAAAATAATAAATTTGATAATAGAGACGTATAGAAATACTTTGAGACTGTCTATAAGTTGTCTTTTATTCATAAATAAAAAGTATTCCTTTTTATAAGAAAACACAATCTGCTCTTGTCATTACATCTTCGTTTGTTAAGACTTTCTTCTTTTACTATATTTGGTTATTAGAGTGTATTTACAGCTTAACTAGTGTTGGTATTACAATTATGACATCAAGTCATAAATTGTACTTCTTTAGCTCTTAGCTATTCTTTTCTCTTTTACACTAGAGCTTTAGGTCTTCCTACTAATTTAGCTCCATATCACTCTGACACAGTTTACCCAGCAGTATGATATAATTATCTTAATAATCTTTAAGATATTATCTACAGTACTAACTGTAATAATTATTGGGCTGATTACTTAATCGTTTATATATATTTTATACTGACAAGATGATAGCTCACTACGGCGGGATGAATGACAGTTGGGCTGAAAGTAAGCACATAACTGCCATTTTTTTGGTCGAAACCCAATAAAATCTCCATCGTTTGTTATAAGATGATAATGTCATTCATAGCAATTTAAAAAAGTAACATGAAAACACTTTTTTTGTTGCTGTACAATATTTTCAATACTGTAAAAAATGTTTTTAAGTTGTAATGACCACTTTGAGTATTGAAATATATGTTTTATTAAATATCAAAGATGTCAACAATTATTAAGATTAATAATTTTTGGAATGTGTGAACGAAATGGTAACATAACTGCCATTTTTTTTATTTTTTAAACTACATTCTTTTTTTTAGATATTCTTTTTATCTTGATGAATTGGCAATTTGATTTTATTTAAATTGCGTAATGGCATATAGAGCATATAGGGAGTGAAGAGAAAAGCATAAGGTGTATAGAAAATAGAAAAAAAACCGGAGTATATAAAGAAGAAAAGAAAGACGGGGCATATAGAGATTAAAAAAAACATAAGAAATAGAGAAAATTAAAAAAAGAATATAAGATACAAGGATGATATAAAAAATATAAAAGATATAAGGATATAGAGCATATAGAAAAATAAGATAAAAATAAAAAGGATTACAGAATGGAAAGATTGCCTTTAGTAATGCGCATGTTGTTGTTAAAGATATAATAGGGCGCGATTACATAAAACTGGTTTCTATTTGGTGGGTATTGGATCAGACCAACTTGATGACAAATGTCATTTACACTTATAACTGCATAAGTTGGTTGCGTTTGGTGGCCTAGTGTATGGGTGCTTTGTGACCATTGTTTGTCAATAGGTACTGATGAGTCATAGCCAGTCACGTCATGTTCCTTCATGACCTCCACGAAAGCAAGAAAGTGTGAAAAGTCATAGAAATCTACATGCTGAAAGTAGAACTGTACTGTACCGACGAGCCAGCTGTGAACAATTACATTACGGTTGCTAAAATAAATATATAAATAGAATGTAAGCAACTTTTGATTGTATATCAAAAAATATTATACTTACTTTCTATAGGGGCAAGTAAACATCACGTAATGGTTGCCACGGCTGGTCTCGTTTTTCTTTCTTTGGTACATGCATGAGGAATATACAGTCAAGTCCATCCACAGACGTGCAGCTACAACAACAACAGAGTCACCAAACTCGTGGCCAGTCAAGCCTGTTGTTCTCTGGTAGTATTTCAATAAAGCTTCCTTCACACTAGGGCCGCCTACACCTTCCACCAAATCATCGTTCAAATTAACAAACTGATGAAACGGCTCCCACAACTGCGCACCACTAGGATCATTAGGAAGGTCCACGTAGCTCTCTCTTCCATATGGCTTTGGCCGAATGAGGTTGATTTCATCACAGATGCTGATTGCCATGCTGGTATAATTGTGAATCGCAAATCGCTCGATGAGAAAACTGGCGTTTTGGCCACCCTTTGATTTGGACTTTATCAATTTCAAGAAGATGCCAATTACTCTCTCCATTGAGCAAGTGGAGTAGCATCGCAGGGGGTCTTGCTGCTTGATGATATAGGGTATATGGACCAGGTAATGTTGCACTGGTCAGAAAACACTACAAGACAGGGTATTATTCTGGACTTGTTGGTATAAAAACGAGTGCCAGTGCTTGAAGTATCTATTATTAATATTTAAAAAATGGTAACAATCAGCTATTTGTAATGATAATATATGAGACATATAATAACTTACGACTCCATCTCATCAAGCAATTCTGATGTCTACGTCCATTGCAAGGCAAGCGCGCAACCTTTCACAAGAGATAATAGAGCTGTTTTGACAGCCCTATTTGGTAAATAAGGCACGACCAAAGTGGGGACAATATATAAGAGAAAGTCAAGCCAGTCAACTGCGCGAGTACCATTGATCTTGGTAAATACGTTGTCAAAACTGCCTTGAAATGAGGTGGGTATATATTTTCATAAGCTGGTGATACAGTTTCTAATTGTTACCAGATCTGCTCTTGGTATATGAAAAGCGTATTTGGTGGTATTGAGGGTATTGTCTGGATGGGTATAATAAAATTTGGTTTCCTTTGTGAGGGTGACGGTAATCAGGTCATACACAAGCTTTCCAATCCCTCTTGCAATTAAATGAAGTTCATCTAATGCAAAAAATGATGATCCAGAGAAGGTTGAGAGTTGGGTATATATTCTCAGCTGGTATATGTTCTTCGACTATTACAAGCAGTTATTTAGTATGAAAAAAAGATGGCTAATTGAACATTTGTATACTTACAGGGTTACCTACTTTGAAGTCTTCCATAGGTCTTAACCGGGCGGAAATGTCATCAAAGTACATGCCATGCCGTCTGTTAGTAGGGCATTTGCCTTTGATCTCACAAAAATGGCAACCAAATAAACTTGTATGGGAACCAATGTGGGCCATATCAGCTACAGCTGGAATATTGCCAGAAGCAAGCAGCAGATAGACCTTGGATCTGCAAAGCTCCACTCCATTGTGCTTGACAACCAAGCCATGTGCCTCAAGATCTCGCAATTCATTGATGATGGGTATAAGAAAGGAGTCCAAATGAGTTGGCTTCTTGGGGCCAGGCAAGATTACCATTTGCAAAAGGTATTTGTTGGTATATCTAAGTATTTTATTAGTAACTTTTTTTTAAAAAAAATGTAATAATAATAATAAATAGTAATAAATTAATTAATTACCTGATGGATGGGTCTAGGTTGAATATTATGCAATGGATGATGGTATATGAGTTTTTGCCTTTCTTTTGATTGACAAACCTATTGGTATAAAGCCCAATAACAATATCATCGGGATTGGAGAACAGGCCCTGCTGTACCAACTGTTTGTAATTGTCACTATCAAAAATGTCGGTTAGCTGACCAGCTACAGATTCCCAGTTTGCTCTGTAACAGAGAAGTTCTCTTGTGGCTGGATCTGCCAACATTTGAGAAAGCATATCTCCGACTGATATAAGTTTTATACTGGCAGCTGGTGTCTGACTTTAATTGGGATCAGTCTTGTATCGCGGTTTGCCACAGTCAACACAAGATTCCTGGTTGTCATTAATGTCATACAATTGACAACCACTAGAGCAGAAATCATACTCATAGCCCTTGACACTTGACTTTGACTTGAGCAAAGCATCAACAGTTTTGCCATGACTGATCTTAGCCCCAGATTCTGAAAAAATGATATTACTACATGTTAGTGATCTGGAATTAAAGTACAAGGTAAGAGAAAATATAATATTTTACTATCATTATATCGTCATGGTCTCAAATGACAGTGTTTATAAATTGAACAATGTCTCTATATGCTGCTCTAGCAATTCTATGCTGTAGCATCAATTGAGACAGATGAATACTCATCAACTTGGCCTTGGTAAAAGTATTTGTACTGATTCGGCTGCTGTCATAAATGTGAGCTTCACTCTCACTGTCCTCAAAATTATATGTGCACTTATATGAAATAGTATTATCAAGCTCCATAAACTCCATAGTATATTCTGTAATACATTATTTAGTAATTGGAAAATAAATAATACAATTACAGCTCTTTTCATTACCTGAATTGCTAACAGATTCATTTTCATTACTAGTATCATTTTCGTCATGGTACATGTCAACATCATCCAGAATAGACTGGTCAATTTCAGTCATTGTTGTTGAATCTCCTCTGTGAATTCTCTTGTGGTTTTGCAGCTTCTGGTAGTTATCAAAAAACAAGACACATTGATCACATTAGTATTGCTGTGTAGATATTCTATCTCTCTGCTGGCTGGCGTTGGAAGAAGACATATTGGTTGGGTTGGTACGTATGTAATATATAAAATAAAACTGCGAAGAGGATTTTGGTGCTATTCATTAAATGTAAAAGACATCTTTATATACTCTTTATTTTTTAACCAAAATGCTTGCGGCTCTTTTTCTTTTTCTCTCTCATAGTGATGATATAGCAATGATTACAGTAATGTCAATGCTAGGTGAAACACCTGTCAGTAAATAATTCCCATGGTTGGAAAGATTCTTCTTCATTAATAATTATGGTGTAAGTTAAAATACTTCTTGGTTGACAAGGGGGTACCATTAAAAGAGAACTGGTGAAACAGACACGTACTCTTTACTTGTGAGCGATTAGATGTTCTTTGAGCTTTATAGAGAGGTATATGTATATTTAGGATAATTAACAACCAAATAATTTATGTTTTTTTTAAATAAATTATCAATTACTCTCTAATACCAAAGGCAAAGAAAAACAGCCTTCTAATAATTAACAGTTAAAAAAAAGTAGTACTGTCTAAACACATTGGTAGAAAAGACATATTTATATTATCTGTGTTGTACTAATAGTATTTTTGAGATAGTGAATATATATTTAGCTAATAGCATTATTTTCTTGTTTATGTATAAAACTTAAAGAAATAGATATAGATAATGAGGGCTATAGTCTGATACTCTTTTACTGATATTGTCAAGATAAGTGCTACTGATCGAAAGAAGTGTTAATTGAAAGTGTCAATGTGAGTTAAAGCACACCTTTTTCAAAAATGTATGGTTTCAGTCACAAATGCCCCTTGGTAAATAATAGTAATGACAGTTAAAATTATTTTTACCTTTGATGACAGCATCAATCAAAACACGTTTTAGTCGATAATAATAATAAGTATGATATGAACTTGAGTATCATAACATTTACTTTAACGTTGATAAAAAGGGGCTAATTAACTATATGATGTTCAGATGTTATATAGCTACTGTAGAGTATATTTAAAGTTATAATTTTAACTGGTACAGGGTTTTGTCATTGAGAACTTTAACCAAATTTCATGCTATATCTGCAATATGTATAGAGTTATATTATTATATCATATACTTTAAAACGTTTAATATGTAGACGGTGCAAAGTATGAGCATTTATACATATAATATTGATTTAAAGTCTAATTCATTTTATCTTTATATTTCTTACAGTTTTGTTGTGACGACATAAAAAGACTGTATCATGTTCACATGAGCTACTGCAGACAGGTGCAGACAGGTGCATACAAGTGCATAAGCATTCCTTTTTTTATATGTTTTGTTTGTACATCTGTCTGTATCTTTTTCATATAAATAGCTATCAATTGCTTGTAATAAATTGTTGCCTTTCTCAAACTCATATCGCTCTTATTCTACTTGTCTAAACTATCATCTTTTCTTTTCAACTCACTGCTTATAGCTAAAAAAACTTAAACATGTCCAATATTAACACAACTCTCCTCAACTCAATTCAAAAGATTGAGATTGATCTTGCTGAAATCAAGCAGGCATTGCGCGAGCTTCAAAAGCAATTCAGCAATCAATTTGCGCCAGCAGTCAGTGCAGAAGATCTAACTACAATGCAACAAAGCATTATTGAGCAGAGTTGTAAGTCATATATATTCTGTGCTTAGATGTTTATTTACTTTATTAATTTTGTCATATATTTTTTTGTAGCTCTTGAGCGCATTGCTGAGTCTGTGAAAAGAGCCCAGCTCACAGAGTACCCTGATCAGCTTGGTAAGTGAGTAATCAATACTGGTGGCAAGTTCAAAGGAAAAAACAAAGCACAAAAATACAATCTGTTGCTTCAGATTCTTCACGAGCAGGACTGGAAGGCGCGCTGCAAAGAAGTTCCACAAGGGCAGCCTTTGCCCCCATTAGTCCCTCTTTCAGACCATGATTTGATAGTAAAAAGACTGCATCTCAAAACATTAGGCCGTATGGTAAAGCATGATATCATTGACAAAGACTATCCTGCGGCCTCAAAAGAATGGAAGAATATTTCAGAGAAAAACAGGGAATACTACATGATGCATTTGGAGAGGTTGGCAAAGAATGGTAGATTGCACATCCACCAATGTAAAAGAATGTGGTGTGCAAAAAGCCTTCTTTGGGAAAGCTTCAAGAGTGACAACCAGACACACAAGAGAAGAATGGCAGAGAAGAACAAAGTAATTTTATCAATTAACAAATCTATATATTGTAAACTTTAATTAACACCGTTTCCTTTTATTATGCTATAGACACAGCAAGATATAAGTGATTCTTTGCTTTCTTCTCCTGATATGTCAGAAACTAGTGATGTTGAGTCGCCCATAATGGCAGATGTGCTGTAAGTTACCATTGTTGCTTTTTCTCATACGCTGTTAATACAAAACTAGTATAAACTTCTTACTCTTCTATGTAGGTCTCCTCCACCCACAGCAAGTGTCGAGCCTGCTCACAAAAGAAGTCAAAGATCGTAGTTTGGCTGCTGTGATTGGCCGAGTTTGATTTTTTTAGTTTGTCTTTAGTGCATTTTTTTTCTTATCTTGTCATTTTTCTTTTTATGTTTTTTATTTCTTTTTTCTTTCATACAAAAAATTTATTGACCTCTTTCATATGATTGCTAATGTTGTGATTACAAGAATTTGAAGCTAATTTACAGCATCTACAATTCCGCTACATTCAAATATAAAAGGAAATAGTATACAGCCTTTTTTTTGAGAAAAAAATTAATAGTAATATTTTTGTACTGATATATTATACTCGGGAGTCATTCTATTATATGTAAGTATATTGAGTAGAATAAACACTTTGAGCTTTCTAACAAGATGCTCATTCAGGTTGTACGAATCAGATACGAATTAGCTTCATGTTACATGACTTGAATCTTTGCTCAAGTTTTTCTTCTTCTACGATAACAACTTTCTATAGTGCTTAGGTTTTATTGCTTTTCTTATATATAGATCTTAAATATTAATACATTCTTTAATATATATATATATTCTTAGAGTAAATGCTTATTTTACTGAACAAGTAAGCATATTATATAAAGGTAAGCATTATAATAATATTATATCTATTTATTTATTTTAAGTTTTTTCTCTAATATTAGTATATTTGTAGAAATAGGTAAAAAAAAATAAGTGCTATGTAAGATATATTAGAATACCCAAAGTATATAAAATAAAATTTGAATAGTAGTGTTTTACTGCATATGTTTTGCAGTAGCTAAACAGAACTATTTTTTATTGCAAGTGGCCAATGAAATTGTTTTTTCATTATTACTATTATTATTATCATTTTCATTTAATAAAACATGCATTGAAATAAAGATTCAATTCAATTAAACCCAATTCAATATTGTATAATAAAAAACAGACCATTCTGTTAAAGCTGCAAAGGAAAAACAAGAGGTTGTGCTAGAATTGAAAGCAATAGAACAAAAGAAAGAATGTAATAGAGGAAAGGAAGGACGCTTGATTTTTTTTTGAAAAATGGTAACAGTGCCTGTTTTGGCCTTATACAGAGTCATAACTGCCATTTTTTATTAAGTAAAAAATGGCAGTTATGTTACCAAAGTGGTAACATGTTACCATTTTCTCCGCCGTAGTGGCTACTACACTATCCCAATATGACTATGTTCTTATATATGATAAATCCAACATCTGAGTGTCCAGATCACCACAAAGGATTTCATATTGCCCAACATTTATCTACATCTGCATCTCAAAGAAACCGTCCTCAACTTTGGCACGGTGTACTGGTAGTAGCTCTTCAGCTTTGAGAGATATAATGGTATATTAAAAAGTTATGCTACAAATAACAAAAATGGATTTGAAGACACGTTCATGCAAAAATATCCTGAGGACACGTGCAATATAGATCTTTTCCATACAACAATGTAATCTCTCCAGACCCCCTCTCAAGTCTCTTTGATATATGAGCTTGTTAATTCATTTTCAACTCTTGTCACTGTCACTGCTGCTACCACTACCACTATTGTCTCCGCTGAGCTGTACTTGTTGACCACTTCTTCTGGTTTCAATCTGAAGACCTTTCTTGATTCCGCTGAAGTGAACATCGACAATGTCAAAGGCAACGAGCCATTGCCTCCTTCTGCCTTCTCTCTCAGTCTTGATGAGTTTGTGCTGATAAAATAAGACGAGTATGCCCTTCTGCTCAAGTTCTACCATATGGCATACAGCAATACTTTGTTGAGAGGTTACCAAGACACAATAATTGGCCAATTATTTTTGAACAACATGATTCAGAAGATGCAGTTTATCAATCTTCTTGGCCAGGTATATAAAGGCAGCAATGGTGTAGTTCGACGTGATTCAATCATACAAGCAATGTTTCATAAAAACAATGATCATAGAATGAGCGCGTTTACTGGTCAGATCCAATATCTTTTTGTCAGCGATATCATCAACCCAGCTACGTACCAAGTGGACAGACATACATTTGCATACATCAGGTGGTATAGAACGTCTTGTCAGGATACAAGAAGTGAGCAGTTTGTGGAAATGAGTAAATTTTTATTTATAAGAAGCAACTTTCAAAACATCTTACCTGTTTACCACATATTTATGTCTGCTGCCATTGGTGTACATACAACTGTCACTGGTAATACTCATATGCTCATTGCCCCTTTATATAGAAAAATTTATACATAAACAAAAAAACATATATATATATATATATATCTTTATTTATTATTACTATTATTATTATTAAAAATATTTGCTTTATACAAATGAGATGATGAAAAGAAAAAGTAATTTATATTGCTATTTTTAAAGTCGTTTGCTTCGAATGAATAAGATGAGGAGAATAACTATATTATATTGCTATTATTAAAAATCTATACTTTGTACAAATGCAATGATGAAGAGAAAAATTATATTTATTTATTAATCTTTAATGGTCCATTAAGCAATAAGTTTAAAATCTCAAAACTAGAAGCAGTCTTACATTTCTTGGACTCACCGGATTTTTGTTGGTTCAGCATTTTTTGTTATTATTATTGTTTTTATTATTTCAGGTACATCTTTTCCTTCACTTACACTTTCCCCTGTATTTAAAACCTTTGCACTCATAATGAGCAACTCCAATCATACCCGATTATCCATCAATGATATTAATGATGATCATATGATCCGAATCGCCCCAGATTACAAGATGGCCAATTCCAAAGTCACCAAGACTTTTGCTGATGAAGAGAAATTCACTGTTTGGTTTGAAAATTCAGCCAAGAGACATTTTAACTGAAATGTAACCAACACTCACTTTTCCCAGGCTACTGGTACAACTAGTCCTAGAGACGTTGTATTGACTATATACTTTGTCTGTGATCACCAAGGCTTCCTCAAGAAGGCCAAGGTTCAAGAACACTGCAAAAACAGATTAATTTTGCATATGTAAAGTATACCTAAGTTCTGATAGACAGAATAGGTAAAATTGTAGTTCAGCTCACTTTTGTGAGTAAAGTATTTGAATAGTATTTTAAGCTACTCTATTGGCTACTGGCAGCTGTGTAGCATTAGAATGCAACATCAAACTCAAATAAAATAAAAGTGTGTTTTCTTTGAAGTCTCTTTCTTTACTATTAAATACTATTGTAGACCTTTCTTTTCATTTTAAAATGGCTCCTATTCGCAAACCAACTGTTAGAAAAGAGTGTCGATGCTCTATCTATAAAAGCAAGACACTAGAATTTGATTGTGTATCTGTTAAAACATTTAAACGTCATCAAGAAAAAGATAATCATGATATTACACATGTTCAAATGCGTACAGTTAATACATTTGCTTTACTTTACTTTATTTTATTTTATTTTATTTTATATCATTTCCTTTTTTATTATTTTATATAATAATAATAATAATAATAATAATAATACTAACACTAATAATAATAAATGTGTAGCCCATGAAGACACATGCGATACAATTAGTAGTGCTGTTTCTGAGCCTGTAAATCAAGAGGAAGATAGTTTTGAATTTGAACAGGAAGATGTTGAAATGAATTCTGAGCTTAGAAGTAAGAAAACTTATTTTATTACATTGATTTATTTGGGTCTAACATTCCGCTTTTGTAGACCTAAGTGACACAAATGACATTTTGGATATACGGACAAGAAATCAACCTTTCTCTGAAACAGATTGCATGTTTGGCTTTGAAGATAATGTCCAGTATACAAGTGACACTTACGAAGAAGAAGAAGAATATGAAGATGAATCCGATGTTGAGATGGACAATGATGAAGGTAGGTACACAGCTTTAGATAATATTATATCCTAGAAAATAGAGAGTTAATCAACGTTCTTTAAAAAAAAATCAAATTAAAGATTCTTTGTTGGAATCAATCTCGGAATTGAATTTGATTCACTGATTCATTGTTATTTTGGTTGCTCTTTTTGTCTCGTTATACATCATGGATGAAGGAGCTGTAATCCTGATTGCCATAATCAACGAGATCCTGCAGTTTTTGTTTGACCCATTCCGCCTTCCCGTGAGTGTTGCTGGCCTCAAACGTTTGGCCAGATTTGAAGCGTTGACAAGTGGTGTCAAGAAGTATGTTGCATGTAGCAAATGCCATGCCATATATGATAATGAAGCCGCCCCTTTGTGTTGTACATCACCCAATTTTGGTAAAACCTCCTTGTGTGGCAACAGCTTGTTTAAGTCTGGTCCCGGGTCAAAAGTATCCAAAAAGACATATGTATTCCACTCCGTCAAGAAAGCCCTAAAGACGTTTTTTCAACGCCCAGATTTTGAAAACAACATCAACTCATGGAACCGCGGCCCAAAAATGGATAGCACTTTGTTTGACATGTACAATGGTGTGATGTGGAATGAGATAGTAGACGTAGATGGTATATCTTTTGTTGATACCGAGCGATCACTCATGCTCATGCTGAACATTGACTGGTTCCAGCCATTCGATAGTGTTACCTACTCCTGTGGTGCCATATATCTTGCAATCAATAATCTTCCACGCAGTGAGCGGTTCAAGAAGGAGAATGTGATTCTTGTTGGGTTAATGTCAGGGCCTAAAGAAGCGAGCACTTCTGACATAAATAACTATCTGAAACTGCTTGTGGATGAGTTGATGGAGCTGTACAAAGGTATTAAGATTAAGACTCACCAATGTCCAAATGGTACTTCTATCCGAGCAGCCCTTCTCATGGTTGCCTGTGATATACCTGCTGCAAGGAAAGTATGTGGGTTCACATCTCATACAAGTACAAATGCATGCCACAAGTGTAAGCATCAATTTTCGAGGTTGGCTGGAACGAGTTCCATTGATTATTCTGGATTCGATTTCTCAAAGTGACTCCTTCGCACTAAGAATGACAATTGTAAGGATGCAGAGATCTGGAGAAATGCAACCAAACCAACTGAGAGACAGCACCTTGAAGTTGCACATGGTGCTTGCTGGTCCGAACTGCATCGTCTTCAGTACTTTGACATTGTCTGCTGCACGATCATCAATCCCATACACAATCTTTTCTTAGGCACTGCCAAAAGAATGCTGGAGAGATGGGTTGCAGATGGATTAATCAACAATAAAAAACTCGTTGCCATGCAAAAGGCTGTTGAGAAGGTAGTGTTGCAACCCGATTACACGTCACTTGGGACAAAGATTGCCAAGGGATTTCCCTATATGAAGGCTGATGAGTGGAAGTTTTGGTGCCTTGTGTACTCTCCTGTGGTTCTAAGGGATGTGTTGCTATTGCCAGAGTTCAAGAACTGGATAGAGTTTGTTAACACATGCAGATACTTCACCAAGCCTAGTGTTTCTGAAGAAGACATTGAGAAAGGACACAAATGCTTAGAAGAATTCTGTAAAGGGTGTGAGACATTGTACGACCTGGACCTTCTCTCTCCCAACATGCACCTGCATCTGCACTTATGCCAAACAATGATTGACTTTGGGCCCGTCTATGGCTATTGGCTTTTCAGCTTTGAAAGGTACAATAGTGTCCTGAAAAATATCAAGACCAATCGAAGAAACGGGTTCGAATCAACATTTATGAGACAGTTTATTGAAGAGTCGTGGAAGGGAGATTTTGTTTGTCAACTTCTGAAACCTATGCATGCACTTGCATGTTTTGAAATTTTCGATAAGTTCACCACCAACAACAACAACACCAACACCAACACCAACACCAACACCAACACCAACACCTACCTCTCTTACTCTTTCTCAATTTCCAAATATCTTGAAGCTTCACAGAATCTTTCAATGACAATTCGTGGAAACGAGCCCCTACTACTATCCGCCTTGCCATTGAAAACAAGACCATTATCATTTATGCCAAAACATGAATATGATTGTCTTGTAGGATACTATCAAGCTGCGTACAAGAATCCACAGATCTCAGGTTGCAAAGATGTAATTGATGACTCACCTTTCGTCAATGACTGGATTGAAAAGGTGAAGTTCGTTGATCTTCTTGGGCAAAGCTACAAAGGGTGCATTGGCAAGAATGGCCACGGATCATATATACAAGCATATTTCACTGAACGAACTGGGTCGGAATATGCGTATGTTGAAGAGATTCAGTACCTTTTTGTTCACAATTTTAGACCAACTGTTTCTTCTCTAACATACAGAAATCCCCATAGTAGTCAGCATGTATTTGCATTTGTCAAATGGTTCAAATCCACTTCGGACAAAACAAGAGAATTAGAAGGAGTTAAGCTGTTACAGGAGGAATTCTACAAGCAAGATTTTCAAAGCATCCTGTCAGTACATCGGATTCTTCTAACAGTTGCAATAGTAGATTACAAAACTACAAAAAACTTGCAATTCCTTTACCAAAAAAAATTACTATTAATTCTCATACACACACTTACCTATATATTTATCCTCTATTATTATTATTTCCTTTAATCAATTCAATTTCAATTATTACTATTTGGTCCTAGAACAGAACATAGTAAAAAAGAAAATGTTTATTCATCATTGATTGCCCAACGAGGCAATGACTGGGACAGGGTGGCAGGAACAGAGCAAGGCAACAATGTTGCTGGATATCTGTTCATTCTTGGCTTTGTTCCCATGCCCGCATTTGACACGTGATGGGTACAATCAATGTCGTCAACCATTGTCAACAATCTGTTGAACTGTATTTATTTTTATTAGTTCTTTATTTTTCTTGTTATAAAACTTATTTATTTATTTTAAATATTATTTACCTCTTCACTTCTCCAAGTGGGGCGAGCCACATGCAAACACCGTCATAGAAGATTGTCCACAATCTCAATATCTGACTCACCATCAGACATGGCATCCTTCTGAAAGATTTTGAGATAGGCCTTCTCAACAGGGTTTCCAGTCTTATATCCCATTGCAGCATCAATGGCTACCCAGTTGTCCATGTATGTCAACTTGTATTGGATAGACATCTTGTTATATAGATTGTAGCTTGAGAAAATAGTAATATACTAATTAATTTTTATATAGTATATACAAACCTGAAGAGTACAACTGTTTGCTCTTCCCTTGCTGTTTTTCTTGGCCTTCTGCTCAGGAGACTCGTGAAAAGTACAATGACTGTGCTTGTATCTGTTCTTTATTTTATCACTTATCACCCATGGGTGAGTACCAGCTAGACGAGTCTGGGCGCTAATGTAGCTCTTCAAGTAGTTGATAACAGCTACGTTATTGCAGTGGTTAATCTTCTCATTCAAGTTCCACTTCTTCTTACTCTTGCTCTCAGCAACAAGAGCAGGGTTGTCAGACTCAAACTTCCAGTCCCACAACTTTTCCGTGAAGATTTCCTAAATACAGGTTGTTTAATAAGTTATTGATACTAACATATATTAATATTAATTACCAAGATAATGACAGAAACCTTGGCATCACTGAGGGAGGTCTGGAGGACATAGGATGGCATCAGAGATGATCCTAGACTAGCCATACGAGTCTGATCGTTGGCATAGGCAGTTGCAAAGTCTGCAAATGCCATATGTGTCTTTCCAGATGTGTCAACAATAACGTCCATCCTGTTTTTAAAGGCTGTCATGTTGCTATTGACAGCAGCAATGTCATCCTTGACACCGTTGATACTGTTGTTTACTTTGTTAAACATTTCAACAATTTCCGCGTATCACTGATCTTGGATAGTTGCAGATAAGAAACTAGGGGCAATTTCTCGAGGTCCAACATGGCCAGCCAAAACACGGTTTGCAGAGGTAGATATACTTGCAGATGCTTTTCCTTTTCCTTTACGGTCTGTTTTTCTGCTGCTATTGGAAGGCATTTTTTCTTTATTGTATTTTTATTAAAGTTTTATACATTAATAAATTATTAAAATAAAATAAACGTATGGGTTAAAATATATTTATTTTTGTTTAATCAAAGATATACATACAAAATAAGTTAATGTAACGTAGATTTATGAAATAGCTGAGAAAAGGAAGGGATTATATATTATTTTCTATAAAATCCTTTATAATCTTGAACAACTTCTTTAATATTCAACATAGAACTTAGTGTTACAATATAATTTTGGGCTATTCATTTTATTACTATTGTATTTTACTAGAGTCAATTCTCATCTAAACTGCCTTCTGATTGAAAGCCCACTTTTTTTTCTTCTTTTTCTTTATTTTTTTCTTATTTCTTTTTTTTCCTGTTTCTTTTCCGCTTTATTTACTTTTATTCTGGTTGATGTATTTGAGGTCACACCCTGGTAAGCAATTTGTTTTTATTATTCTACTGTTATATTTATTCTTAATTTTTTTTCTTTTATTATTGTGGTTGCTGATAGTATTACAAGTCTTTGCCGTGTTGATTAATGAACAAGAACAAAAAGGTAAAACGCGGTTATTGTGTATGTGTTTCTTTATTAATTATTTTCTTTTTCTCTCCTCAGCTCATTAGCTCCTCAGCTCATTAACTCCTCAGCTCATCATAAAGACATACCAACAGCAGAAATTTATCTGGTAAGTCTGAATAATGTATTTATTTATTTTATTCTTATATCTAATTTTGGTTATTTTCTATCTCTGTTAGTACTGCCAACATTTCTATGTACCTGATTGAATGGCTTGTCTTTGAAAACCGGTTTTCTTTGGTAAGTAATAAAGCCAAACTTTATTCAATGATCTTTACTAATGCGTTTTATTAAACCTTTCAGAACAACAGTCAATGTGCACTATGCCTGGTTCTGACGAAAGTACTGGTAAGTAACCATATTATTTAAATTAAAGAAAAGTAAATATTTATATAATCTAATATAATTGAATAATTTTTTAGTCTTCTCTTACTAGTGAAATACCATAAACACGCGTTTCATTTTAGGATTCTATCGTATTGGAAGTATTTATATATTATAATATATGAAAGGGCTTGTTATTATATTAATTATGTAGTAGCTTATATATTAGATTAGACTATATATTGTCAAGCCGTACATATTATAAGCAAGAAGCTTTTTTTTAAATAAAAACAATTTTTCCAAAACAATCCCTATAAAAATATTTGAAATGAAGTGCAAGAAGTATTGCAGTAGTATGGCATGTGTGAATCCTATAGTTTAGCCGTGCATAATTGTCCAATAAAAGTGTTTAGATTTGGAAGACAGTATACATAAATCCTGTTTCTTCTGTTAAATGATCCAATAGAATATCATTATTTCAGTAGACAGTTTTCTATCAAAAATAGATTTTTTATTGGAATCTCTGTTTCAAATCAAGTTTAATTTAATGTAACATCCAAAAAAAAAGATGCCATAATTTGATTATTCTCTCTGCAATTAAATAGTTTAAAAGAACCTTACATCTCTATATGGATCATTATAAGTTCAGAAGTTACATGGACAACTCACAGGTAACATAACATATTGCGAACAGAATCTATAAATGCCAAATTCCAGAATTTAATTATTCTGTCACTCAGAATTTCCCATACTATCGCATATGTGTAGAAATCTAATTCCCCAGTGGAAATGGCTAGAAAGCCAAAAGCAAAGAGGGTTCGAACTGAATCCATCAAGGACGGCTGCAAAGCCAAGATTACCAAGAAAACCTTGCATGATGGGAGTGTCCAGGTAGATTACCTATGGCAGCATGCAACCCACCAACCTGAAAAGGTTCAAGAGATGGTGCAGTCAAGACTCCCGTCTGAGGTCAAGCAGTGGATTTTCTCCCATGTAGACAACAACATGGGTTGGAAGGCAATCAAAACTTTGCTTCGAATCAACCCTCAGTGCTTGGATGAGGTAATAAATTTCTTTTCTTTTATCTTAATTACTAACTTGATTGTGTTATAGCTCAAAGCAGGTATTGATATTGTCAGCTTCCCAATATCTCTTCGCATTAACTATCATGATGTTCAAAATGTCATCAATGCACGTCTGAACAACCTTTCAAGACGAAATACCATTGACAAGACAAGCGTTAAGCAATGGATTGAGTTCTTGGAAAAAGAAAAGAACTATCTGGTTTACATTGTCTTCCATGAAGATAATAGGCCATACCTTGTTTCATAGATCTCTCCTTGGAAGAAGAAGGTATATTATTTAATTTAATAATCATTTAAAATATAATATTACTAACTGTTCAACAGATTCTCGAGTCAGCAGATGAGTGGTGCATCGACTCAACTCACAAGACCTGTAAATCTTTGGTAGATTCTAGCAAGCACTCATATCTGTATACAATAGTTGTGAGAAGCAACATTACCAACAAGGGTGTTCCTGTTTGCTTCTTTGTGATAAATGCAGAGTTTATCACAACCTTGTTGCAATGGCTCAATTGGGCTAAATCCAACTGTAGCCTGCATGTCAAGCGCGTGATGATTGACTGCAGCCCAGTTGAGATTGATGCCTTGGAGGAAGTCTTTGGCCAATCTGTCCAGGTCCTTTTGTGCCACTGGCACATCAAGAGAGCATGGAAGATGGACATCAAAAAAAAATGTAAATTATGTTAATATATTTATTCTTAAATATTGCTAATAATTATTTATATTTAACTAATACTGTAGGTAAAAATTACTGGAGCCACCCACGAAAGCAAGCATGAACAGGATGCAGTTCGGGTGGCTCTCAACTTGCTGATGCATGCCAGAAGTAAGGAGGCATTTAACCAGCAATACGAAAAATTTGTTTCCAGATTTGCTGGCCATGTCAAATTTGTGGCATATTTTGCCACACACTGGCATGCTAAGTGTGACCTTTGGTCAATGGCCTGGAGAGCGGTAAAACTACTATAAATATCAATGTATTGTTTATGAACTATTTGTTATTATTATTAGGATGCCAGATTCCACACGAACAATCTGATTGAATCCTACCATCACATCTTGAAAGCTTACTACTTGGGCAGATTAAGAAACTTCCGGGTTGACCAGTTGGTTTACATGCTCTCCCAAGTAGTTGAGCATTACTATAGACAAGAGGGTCTCAAGATCATGTATGGGTTCAAACAGCTTGTTTTGACACACACTGAGAAGGTGAAGAAAAAGAAGGCATATGATATTGCTCCTGAAGATGCTCTAGGCATGATTAAGATCATAGAAGATAATTTGGTAATTAGATATAACTTTTTATATGTTAAATGTAATAATATTAATGTTGGTTTTATTTATTTATTTTAGATCTACAAGTGTTGCTTCTTTACTGACAATTCTGTTTGGTACGAGTTCTTAGTCAAAGAGGAAGTACTCACTGAAGAAATGACCCTGAATACCCTTGTGTGAAGGTTCATGGTTACATGTGGATATTTAGAGCAATTTTTCATCTCAGCATGTTTTTTGGTGTACATGTTCATAAAGTCATGTTGTAATTTTCTATTGACTCAGATATAATAACCATCCAAGTTATTTTATTATTATTATTATTATTATAAAGTTTGAACAAATAAAGTAAATGTAACACTTGTTTCCCTTTTATCTTAACATTTATAACAAAATAAACACCATGTCCTCTACTTCTGAACTTTATAATAAGAAGTGCTATTGCACAAAATGCAGTGATAATTAACAAGACTACAGCTTTGTTTCTACACGAACCCTCCAGCACCACAATAAAAGAGCAAGATATGAAGACATGGAAAGAAGTGAAAGAAGTATGTTTTGTTTTTCATTTTCATTTTCATTTTGGTTATTTTATATAATGTTTTATTTCAATAGATGTATCTGTTCAAAGAAATCTCATGGATATTGCTTTTGAAAGTAAGAAACGTTAATTGTGATAAAAAGAGAAGTAAACTAAAAATTGAATTCTATATGTAGCTACATCAAACCAACAAACCGGACCCATGGAAGCAATGGGTGGTCAGACCAACTCGCCTGTTTGGGAAGGAGCCCCAATTTCTGACGATGAGGTTGCTTTTAGCAATGAGTCGAATGGCAAAAGCAGTGATGGTGATGAAAATGATAATGACGAAGAAAGCAATGGCGGTAAAGAAAGTGAAGACAATGAAGAGAATATTGTTGAGATTGAAGTCGAAGAATTCGATACTGAAGGTCAGTCCATGTTAATTAACTAATAAAAAAAGACCCAAAAAAATTCAAGGAAAAGAACCAAAAAAGAAAAATCTGAAAAAAGGGGGGGTGTTAATTTTTTTTGTTTTTTTTTACAATAGATCCTTTTGCCACCCCAAATATGCCTGAAAATCCGGTACACAGGTTCATTGCTACTTTTGTAGTAATGTTTGCTTCCTGCTATGTGGTTAATAAGGGCGCTGTTGTCTTGATCGAGTTCATCAACAAGCTCTTGTCGATTTACAAGCAGGATTTCCAATTGCCTGTGAGTCTTTCTGGTCTCCAAAGCATGACAGGATTCTCGGCCATGACAAAAGGGATTAAGAGATTTGTCGTTTGTCAGGATTGCCACAAGGTGTATGAGGAAAGTGTACCTGCTCCTTTGAATTGTGATTTCGTAAAGCTTGGTGCACATACCGCCTGTAATTGCAAATTAATGATCCAATCATTATCTGGTGGTTTGGTCGCAAAGAAGTCTTATGTATATCAGTCTCTCACACGTGCTCTTAAAATTCTTTTCCTCCGTCCCAATTTCGAGCAAAAGATCATGCACTGGAACCAAGAATTCAAGATCACTGATATATTGTGTAATGTTAATGATGGTGAAGCCTGGACTGATTTGAAGGACAATGACGATGAAATTTTTGTTGAGCATCCTCGTTCATTGATGCTGACATTAAACATCGACTGGTTCCAGCCTTTTGATGGTACTAGCTATTCCTGCGGTGCTATCTACCTGGTGATTAACAACCTGCCTAGAAGTGAGCGGTTTAAAGCAGAAAATACAATCCTTGTTGGCCTCATGCCTGGACCAAAAGAGCCAAAATCAGAAGAGATCAATCATTATCTCAAGTCATTAGTCGACGAAATGATACAGCTCTATCTTGGAATACAGATACCCACCTACCAGCAAACAGACAGTGCAACAGTTCATGCAGCCTTATTGATGGTTGCATGCGATATACCTGCTGCCAGAAAGACTAGTGGGTTCACCGTGCACAACAGCACATGCGCCTGTTACAAATGCGACAATCAATTTTCTCGTCTACCAGGCACTTCTTCTGTCAATTTCTGTGGATTTGATTGTGACCAGTGGCGCCATCGAAGTGATAGAGCAAACCATGTGCATGCTGAGAAGTGGAATAGTGCGAGTACACCCTCAGAAAGGCAGCAGCTGGAGGTCAAATATGGTGTTCAATAGTTGCAGTTGTATCGCCTTGGATACTTTGATCTAGTACGTGGAACGATCATTGATCCCATGCATAATCTTTTTCTGAGAACA